CTGGAACGGGAGGGTTCTTCAAAGTAGTCGCCGTCGAGCTCTTCCATGATCCCGGGCGACTCCATGGGCCACTGCTGCGTGTGCCCGCCTCCTTCCATATCGCTGCTGGCGAGGACCTGTTTGAGCGGGGTGGGGTCGGAGCTCTTCTTTTCGGGGCGGTGGTCCGGGGCATGGTGGTGGCCGAGATGGAGGGGCGGTGGGAGGGAGAAGAGTTTGTGGGGTTTTTGGGGACGGTGGTGTTCGGGGTTGAGGAGGGAGCCAGAGGCGGAGGGAGCGGGGATGGAGGAGGATGTAGAATTTGTTTTGATGGATGCTGAAGAGGAGGAAGGGTTGGATATACGTAGATTGGGGAGCGATGGTTTCGGTAGAGGGCCCACTATTCGCCCACATTCAGCGCTTCGTCCTCTTACTCATGAGCGACTACTCATGAGCGACTACTCACGATGCTTCTCATGCAGCTCCAGACTCTCCTTCCCCCTAGGCTTCTTCCCCCTAAACCGCCATCCCACCGCAAACTCGCCCTCCAGCTGCGGCACATTCCCCACTTCATGCAGCGTCACCGAGGCATTGAAGATGGCGTACTTTTGGTTCTCGAAGATGTGTTTAAACTTGGACGAGAGGTGGTGGTGGTCGGTGTCCTTGGAGGGGAGGGCGGAGGAGGAGGAGGAGGGGAGGGTGGGGTGGAGGGAGGAGCCGGTGGGGGCTGTGGATGTCCGGGAGGAGTTTGGGGGGCGGCGGGCGGTGAGGGCTGCCATGGTGGATTATAGATGTGCCGATTGACTATGGGTTGTATATGAGCACAAGAGAGATAGAGATACACTTTCAGCTGCTTACATGTATCTCAGCCACGCTCTTTCCGCCCGTGTTTCCACAGACCGACGCCGGATAAGAGAGCGCGCAGGAGAGTGGTACAAACAATCCTTTCCCCAATTTTTACAATGAATCGGTGCTTCCTTTCTCTTCCACACGTTTCACAAAGATGTGCTGGGGATGTTACAGACGCAACATGGCGGGCCGGCTTTTGTTGGTGTTTATATGGTAGCAGGGGGGTACGGCGACGAGAGCGACGACGCAAAGAGAAGTGGAGTGGATCGCGAGGCCGACGTGTTTCCTGGCGCTGTATCCGACCACCAACCGGGGCTTGTATGCGATTCGCTGGCGGATGCGGGGGGGAGAGTAATAGAGCAAGAAGATGACAAAGCAAACATGCATGCAAGAAATGGGACACGTCTCTCCGCTCCAAAAGTCAGTTTGCGCATCCCCTTACCCTGAAGCAATCGCCCACCGGCCTCGGCCTGTCTCTCTGTTTTGGCATTTTCTTTCCCGGCGGATGTCTATACGTGGGCACTGAGCTGCGGGGTGAAGCAAAGACATGGCGCTGAGATGGGGCGGCTATGCAGTACACAAAAGTCGCAGGACGAGGAGGACATCTGGGGCTGAATCAAGTGATGTCCAGGATTAGAAAAGTAACTCTCAAGCCCAGGCTTTTTGGCTTCAGGCCGTAAGGGGTAGTCTCGAACCTTTGGACGGCTTATCGCTCGGCCTCCCCATTCGCGCTTCAAACGATTCACGGACTGGGACCGAAGCTATTGAAACTAGCTGGTGAATGCATACATCCCTCCTTGCGCATTGGCTGTGTTCGTTGATGTCAGAGCTTCAGCGTCTGCTCGGAGTTGCGTAAAAGCCGAGGCCGACGGGCTGCGCATGTCTTTACTCGCAATGCCGGCTATGTTTTCGAGCTGGATCGGTGGTGGGCATGAGTCGCATAAGAGTGAGCCCTGTTTTTGAGTGGTGAGCACACAAATGCAGAGATCGGGGCAATTGATGGTGCTTGACATTGGGTCTTGGGAAGAAGGACGACTTGCTGGACCTTCAATCTCACTTTGCAAGACCGATAAGAATCATCAGACGTGATCCGGCCCAGAGTCAGCTCAGTCGTTCTTCCCATTGGCAGGAGGCGGGAAGGAGGCGACGTCTCTGGCGACAACAAAAGCGAGACAATCAATCCACCATGGCCCATCGCATGAGCCGGCTCGCAAGTCATGACGTCAACATCCAACGGCTTCAAATCACTCTTCTCTTACAAGTAACACCAGTTACCACCCGTCCTGTACGGTACATCTAATCACAGATCAAGGGGCCAATATACCCCATACCCAGGCACCCAATCCACGATATCACCTTGCCCGGTATACCGGTATACCCACAAGCTCGATCAGTTGGTAGGAGGAAAAATCTCCGTCGGCTCTTGACTATCTCGACGCGTCCGGGGACAAATCAGCAATCAGCTCAAGGCATCGCTTTATCCGAAGGGGAATGAAAGTGGCAGTGATAGGTTCCGGCCTTGCTGGCCTGACCACGGCTTATCTACTACGGAAAGAAGGTGTTGAAGTGTACCTCATCGAACGAGTAAATTTGTGCTGTTCTTGGTATCTTGTACGATTGCTAATCTTTTGTTGTGTTTCAGTCGCCGGTGTTGGGATTTCACTCTGAATCTTTACAGGTGGAAGAAAAGGACGAGGGAGAGAAGAAGGGGAGGGAAGGATGGGTCGTTAATGTGCCGATGCGTGGCTTTCAAGGAGGTCGGTCACTCCCTCTCTCCTCCACATCCCACAACCCCCGACTGACTTTATGAATCAGGCTACTACCCCCTCCTCATCTCGCTCTACACCCACCTCCAGCTCCCCATCATCCCCCAACACTACACCTACTCCTTCTCATCCGAGTCCGGCACCTACTTTATCCATTCCGGCGCATCCGGCTGGTCCATACCCTCCCTACCCTCCAAAGCATTCACCGGTCCCTTCAACCTCCTCCGCGCTTTACTAAACCTGCTCGGAGTCGCTATAAGCTACTTGCTTTTGGTGGTCTTGTCGTTTTTGGCATGGCACGATATCTTGCCTTCGCAGCTTTCGTCTCCAGACCTGACTGTTGGGCAGTTTACGACACACCTCTCTTCCTTCCTTGCCCGTCCCCTGCGCATACCCTTCATAGGCTGGTCCCCCAAGACACCTCTCGGCTCCGCATTCGAATCATTCATGCGCACCATCGTCCTCCCTCTCTTCTCTGCCGTGGGCACCATGACCCACCAAGACGTCTTCAACCTCCCCGTCCGGATTCTGCTGGAATACATCCACGTCACCCTCGGGACGGCGCACTATCGACTAGGGAAAGGGCTGAGCTCGGGGGACGTGACGGCGAGGCTGGTTGGGGTTGTGGAGGAGCAGGGGGAGGGGTATGTGAATGTGGGTACGGAAGTGAGGGGGTTGGAGTATGCTGTTGGTGGGGGGGTGAGGGTTAAGCTGAGGCGGGTGGTCGCTAACGGGGACGGAGACGGAGGCGGGAACCGGGAAGGGAGAGGGGGGGTGGAGAGTCTAAGAGTAGACAAAGTTGTGCTCGCAACCCAAGCAAGCGTCGCGAGGCCGTTACTTGAAGATCTCGAGGCGAATTTGAAGACGTGGGGTGAAGAGAAAGAACGGAGGAGGGTGATGCGGATGGCGGAGGCTTTGCAGAGTGTCAGATATAGAGTACGTTCCCCCTTCATACCTTTCCCTAACGCAACTTTGAAGACCGAAGCTGATGAGGGGATATGACAGGAAACGATAGTGATCAACCATAGAGATACTTCCCTCCTCCCTTCTTCCCCCGACCGGCGGTCTATCAATCTTCACCTCCCCTCTTCCCCCTCCTCCTCTTCTTCTTCTTCTTCTGCACCCCCACCAGCTCAAGAAAATGAAGGCGAAACGCCATTCTTCCACGCTTCTGGGGAGAGCGTGTATACAATGGCGACGGAGGTCATCGTGCCGCCCCAAGGCAGCAGCGGCGGGGAGGTGGTGTTGCAGACGACGAATCCGGTGGTGCCTATTGCGAGGGAGAAGGTTTTGAGTGTTTCGAGGTTGGAGCGGTACGTCCCCTTTCCCTTGCCCTCTTCTCTTCCCCTACTTCATTGAAAATATGCTGACATGAACACAGCGCCCTGGCCCTCAAAGACCCCCTCGCCACACTCCAAAATCTCCAACCCCACTCCCCCAACGCCCTCATCTACCTCGCCGGCTCATACGTCCACCCTGGCATCCCGCTGTTGGAGGGCTGTGTGGCGAGTGCTAGGAAGGTTGTGGAAGGTGTTTTGGAGGGGGATAGGTATCACCATGTGAAAACTTTGAGGGAGGGCAAAGGGAGGGGCGAGGGGAAGGATTTGGGAGTGGGAGTGGGGAGGAAGGTTGGGAAGGGAGGGATCCAGGGGAAGGGGAAGGGAGGGGTTGGAGGGGTTGATTGGAGTGTGGGAGAGGGGAGTAAGGTGGGGAGGGTTTGGAGGTGGAGGTGGAATAAGGAGAGTTTTTGGTGTTAGATCCTCTCCCAAGTAAGGGATTGTGACGCGCCATGGATGTTGAACAAGAGAACGGGATCCAAGCTCATTTACTACTCTATAATGCACCTGCATCCATTGCGCATGAGATCATGTCATTCATGGTTATACTGACATGCTACTTATGAGACTACTCTGGCTACTGGGGCGGCTGCATGACGTTCGACCACCACGTCTCACTTATGTTAGTGTCTTGTGCAACGAGGTATCTGGAGGACAAGAATAAGTCTGAAAGTCACAGTGCTCCTTCCATCTTGTCGCATGCACCACTTTTCCGCTCATAATTGCTGGGACCGGATGATGATGAGATCAAATTCTCCACAAACGGGTCAATATGGAGGATCCGATTGTTGGGTTGCAGCTGTGGGGGAAAGTCCGAGAATTTTGTACAGATGATGATGATTGATGTCCTTTCAAGAATTTCTCGTCAGCAGTATCGGCTAATAAGCTGATGATGTGCGTATCAAGAAGAAGGGGTTGGTTCTTCTCCTGAGAGTTTGTCATCCTCGAGGCCACTCTTTAGACGCTTTCAAATATCTGCATACTACCATCCTCGTTCCTGATAGTTTGCTAGCAACGTGTACGAGTACGGATGAGATCAAAGCCAACTATGCAATGGTGGTGCTGATCCTCTTTACTCGGAAGGTCCCCCACTTAGCCCCTGCTGGAACCTATCCCAGCAAATCTCACCGAATTGATCGGCTTGTTCTGCCAGGTCCTCTTCGGTGGGCTGGATGTAGTTAGATTCATCAAAAAACGGCGGAAATGCGTCGTCGTCTTCCAACGTAGCAGGCGCCGTGCTATTGGATGCCTCTGATGCCGCCGCCTGAGCTTTCTTCCATTTTCTGTTGTCTCTTTTCTTTTCATTGTCTACAATGACCGTTCATTCAGACCACTGTACTTTTCATATTGTCAGAGCGACATGGAAAGGTGTGCTTACAGTATGCACGAAGTTCATTTTGCTTATCAACACTCAACTCAGACATCGGAATCTTTTTGCCATCCTTGTCTGATGGATGTTTGGCATCGAGACCTGATGACGAGGGTATGCAGAATCATGAGCGCAAGTCGGACTATATTGACCTTCCACACTGAGAGAAGGAGAACAACAACGTACCTTTTCTAGGCCTGCCCCTCTTTCGACCCGAAGTGCCGCTGCTAGGCTGTGCGGTCTGCTGCTGAGACTACGCCACGACATTCAGCGAAAAGATCATCGGTAACAACCAAGTATTCAATGTGTGGCTGGAAGTGTCTGATAACTAGAGGAGAGCTCTGTGGGAGGATGGAGGGGAGAGGTTGTTGCACTTACCACGTTGTCATACGTCGTCCCAGCTCTATAAGACTCTGCTGAGGCTCCACTAGCACCATACTGCTGAGTTCCACCCGTCATCATCATCATCGATGCATCCGTCATTGGAAAGTCATGATTGTCGTCCCCCTGCCCAAAGTCGTCGTATTCATCAGGGTTGAACTGGATAATGAAACACCCAGACATTCAGCTACCATATTCATTCTTCGGCCTCGTAGAGACAGAACGCATGGTGTCAGTAGGAGAACGTACCGTTAGTTGAGAAGAGTCGTAGTACTGGGACTGATCATTACTGTCGCTCATGGTGGTGGTATGCCGAACTGTCTGCGATGCTATGTCGAACTAGATGATGAAGAAGTCGACCACTGTTCGCCTTATTATGGACCGTACACTAGGGCCAGAGGACATTTGATAGGCCGACATTCAGAGTCTGAGAAAATCATAAACAAACACCGCTGTGAATGAACAAAAGAACTACATGCTCTACCATTCAAGCTATGAATCTGGTCGTCAATTCTATACATAGATTTTCTATTACAAGTATATTGACAGTTTTGGTATATATTTATCACATCCTCTCAGCTCGATTCGGTTTCAATCTGCGAATATCTCACGGCCTTACGGATTTGCTTTCATGACAAACAATCTTGGCCAGCTGTATGCCGAAACTCCGAATGGTTGGTAGAAGATTACTTATAGCCCCAATCATCGAAGCTGAGGTTGAACTGGCTTCAAGTATTGGCGGACCTCAGAAATGGTCAGTAAGGTGATTTGCTTTCCCACATTTTCTTCCCGCGAAGGTTCTCTCACAGAATCGCGCGACTATTCTGTCACGATCTGCTCCTGGACCTCCTGCGCTGTTCGCAGATCGCAGGTTGGGCAGAGGTTGGGTCACTCACTGATCACGGTGACTCACCAATGCAGCTTATTTGATTCCGTTTCTATGCTCCTCTTGCAAGTGCAGCTTCTTGACTAGGTATCACTGTTTTATCTTCTGCAAATCTACAAAAGAGCGCAAGAATCGCCCATCACCCCTACTCATCCCCCCCATCCTATATATGACCGCCCCCCTTCCCTCTCCTCGTTCCCGCTCTTCCTCCACAACTTCCTCCACCGCGCCTCTTCCCTCTTTCGAAGAGTACGTGCCCCCGCGACCGGCCATCACAGGCGGACAACAAAACCTATCAGTCAAAGTAGAAGGACTCGGGAAAGATGTACAGCTAGTAGTCGATGCTGCGCACGGGTGTGGAGGCGTTACTTGGCCCGCTGGGGAGGTAAGTTCGCGATTATTGTGGAGTGGTGCGTTTCGGCTGATGGAGGTTTCAGGTCATGTCCAGATACCTGGTGTATAGGCATAGTCTAGAGCCTGACAGGCTGAAGGAGAAAAAGATACTCGAGCTGGGCTCTGGAACAGGCCTGGTGGGCTTGGTGACGGCGATGCTAGAGCCTTCTTCCGAAATCTGGATCACTGATCAAGCGTGCGTCCTCTCCCCTACTAATCTCTTACCCAACTCGCTGATCTGCATGTATAGCCCCCTCCTTGAACTGATGGAGACCAACACTAGACTAAATCTGGGCGAAGATCATGACAGTGTGCACGTCACAGAGTTCAATTGGGGCGAATCTGTCAGCAGCGATATCCCGATCGAAGACATCGAAGTCGTCCTAGCTGCAGACTGCGTCTATTTCGAAGTGAGCCCTTCGCCATATTTCCTGACCCCATTCACTGACCCCTCGCCCCTAGCCCGCCTTCCCTCTCCTCGTCCAAACCCTGTGTGACGTCGCCCCCCTCGGCAAAACCATCGAAATCCTGTTCTCCTACAACAAGCGACGCAAGGCCGACAAAAAGTTCTTTGCCATGCTCAAGAAGCACTTTACGAATGCGTTCGTGGAAGATGACAAGCCTGGGGAGAGGGAGAGATATGGGAGGCAAGGTGTGAGCTTGATGAGACTGACGCGGAAAAAGTAGGGGTATAGGCGCTTGGGTTGTAGATGCATCTTTTGGGCTCTTTGAGCTATAGATGCTTCTGCAGAGACCTCCTTAGATTGATTGCGAAGAACAGTGGTTGGTGTCCGATGCTTGCATCGAGCTCAGTGAAGCAAGCCATATTGGCGAACTCGAGTCCTTCCACAGAGTGGCGGACTGCGAGACACAACAACCCTCGACTTTCTCACTTCGCCGAGCTCGACCAGTAAGTGTCCCTTATTTCTTTGTGGTTAAATCAGACATCTAGTCAGTTGTCGGACAAGACGCGAGATGGAAAACGCGAGATTTGCCGCATACAACAGTCGTGACAATCGACGCAGACGTGTGATGATATCTTGCTATCTGTTCTCTTCCCATCAAACTCCATTGTACGATGCAAGACCCTTAGCACCTATCTACGCCATCGTCCGGATATGCCAAGAGGTGCATTGTTGTTGGAATCTGGAGTTCACTGCGCAGGACGCTGCGAGTAGACGTACTTTATACAATGTGGCACGGGAAGGTTCAGGGACTCGCAGCGGGGCATATTGTGGAGCCTGTTGCGCTTTCTCATGTTTGTCCATCTTACCAGGTGATAGGAGCTGAAGACTGTACAACAGTATTCAAGATGTTCCATAGTAGTTCTCCACATATCTTCTTCTTCCTTATTTATGAAACCTATAAAACCTTACAACAGCGGGTAGCTACTACACATTCCTCTCGCCGGGCGCAAACATACTCCGCACTACTGGTCTTCGTCCACACCGATCTCGGTAGTTTTGAACTTTCGAGTGGAGGTACCACGTCGGAACAAGAGGTCTATCTCTCGGTACGATCGTCCCTTCATTTCAGGCAAACAGAAAAAGGCAATGACAAAGCAGATCAGACCGGTTCCTCCCCAAACATAACCGCATTTGCCGCCAACTACGGAGAGGAGTCAGTGACGTTTGCCATGAATCTAGTATCACGAATACCCACGATTGCCTCCTGTGGGGTTGAGCATGTACGAAGCCACTGATAGCCATAGCTGATTAGCTCATTCTCGTGATATTCCAATCGCGACTCACAGAAGATACAGGGAATCTCGATGATATAGTAAGAGGCCCGACCAATACCAGTTGTCAGAGGTCGCAGGCGGATAGCAGAGGTCTCTCCGATATACACCCAAGACACGGGCGCAACGGCAAAGGTGAACAAGACGGAGATGACCAGGCCGAGACTAGCCTGGGCGTATTGTGCCGAGCTCGACGTGCCGACCGACCCAGCGATACCGAGGGCTACAAGCAGTATGGTATTGACGGCGGAACCCCACAGATAGAGAGTGCGTCGACCAAAGTAGGTGGTGAGGAACCATGATGCCATGACAAAGACCATCTGCAATGCCGAGGTGATGAGACCCAAAGCAAAGGCAGTGTCGTTGGTCATACCAGCCTCTGTGTCTGTTCTCAGCATAGTCGCAAGTCGGCACAGACACTACTCACGTTCGAAAAAGTAAACGGCTTGATTCGCGATCAAGTTGCCAGTAAGATTTTGAGCCGCGTAGACAAAGCACACAATCAACGTCCTCCGCAAATCGCTGCCTCTGAATAGCTCGATGTAGTTTGGCGCCGCAGCGGACTGTTCCATCTCGACAACTCGTCGCATCATGGCAACGCTCTCCGTTGCGTTGAGCTTCGCCTTGGTGCCGAGACGCTCAATCGACCGTGCAGCCCGATCGTAATGACCCTTGCGTACAAGCCACCAGGGTGACTCGGGGGCAAGAAAGATGAGAATGGCGAGGGGTGTTGGGAACAGCCATTGTAAAGCGATAGGTAGCCTGTGCGCCATGATCAGTCAATGTCGGTGGCGAAGTAATGATCCACTCACTTGTGTGCCATTGTGTCCGTCCGCTTGTTATAGACATATGTGACCGCCCCAACAATGATAGCTCCGATAGCCCAGAACATCTGCAGCATCTGCGTACACGGAGCACGGAGTCGCAAAGGGACAATCTCGCTACAATAGGCAGGTGCATTGGCGATGAAGATGCCCCATGGAATGCCCTCGAGCAGTTGAGCAGCGAAATATACGGGGAGCGAGTCCGCAAAGAACATGATGAAGATGAAGCCGTTCAAAGTCATGAGTCCTGAGAATGTGGCCCATCGGTATCCAATACGACTGGTGAGCGGCCCAGCGAGGAAGACACCGATCAAAGCGCCAAGCTGACCAGACATTTGCAGCGCTGATTGCCATTTGGTCGCAATCACATAGGCGCCGGTCGAGTCAAGGATGCCGTATCGAGTTTTGAATTCCGACATGGCGATGAAATTGCCGATCAAGAAGACGTCGTAGGCTTCCATGACCTGTCGGCAGGCGTCAGTAAGCTTAATCGACAAGGTGATAAGCACAACAACGTACGATGCAAAACGACATGATGAAAGCCCAAAAGCAAGCCATAGGGTATGCCCTGACAGCCTCCAAAACCGTCATGGCATGCTCTGCATTTTCGGCCTCCATAGCCCCTGCTTTGTAGTCCACGCTACCGGCCTTTTCGATATGCTCGACATCTCCTTCTGCTTTGGCAGTATCGTTGTATGGGAGATCTCCTCCTGCTTTGGCAGTATCGTTGTATGGGGTGGTCTGAACGATCTGGCCGCTCATGATGGGAGAATGTTGATGGGTCAAATGTGAGGATGAAGAAGATATGGTCCGTGGGGCTCCCAAGTATATATGTATACGTTCCCTCTTGATCCATATGGCTTCGGCAACGGCAAGGAGTACGTTCCCTCATGACCCATGGGTTTTCGGCAAGTCATCATGTGACCAAAACAGTGTTCAGTCACGGAGGGAGATTGCCCCGTCGAGTCGCGGCGGCATCGGACGATTCTTATTTCTTCATTTGGGCGCTTCCAAGCGGGCCGCTTCAGACACCGCGTGGTACATCCTCCCAAATTGCGCTCGATGACAGCTTGATGACAGCTGTGGCGTAAAGCACGGCGAAAGAGGAAAAGACTTCCCCGTGACTATATTTGGCTTTTCCGGAGTGTGGTTCTCTTCCATCTCATTCCTGACTGTATCCCGGTGCCTGAGAATGAGAGTGACTACTCCCTTTGCTATTGAATTTGTATGTAGGATCGCACGAACATTGGTAACGCCCAACCTGATACCATCCTGGCCAGCCTACACATTACAGCAGCCAATGTCAACATTGACCAAACGCTCTTCACTCTCGGTATTGTTCTCTTCGAGCTTCCCAGCAACTACGTCGCCAAGCTCGGGCTTGATCACCCTCACTCAGGCGTTCATGGTCAACAAGTCGGGTTTCTACGCTACTACAAAAAGTTCTTTGTCATGCTCAAGAAGCACTCTACGAATGCGTTTCGTGGAAGATGACAATCCTGGGGAGAGGGAGAGATATGGGAGGCAAGGTGTGAGCTTGATGAGACTGACGCGGAAAAAGTAGGGGTATAGGCGCTTGGGTTGTAGATGCATCTTTTGGGCTCTTTGAGCTATAGATGCTTCTGCAGAGACCTCCTTTGATTGAATGGGAAAATCAGTGGTGGGTGTCCGTTGCGTGCGTAGAGCTCAGCGAAGCAAGCCATATTGGCAGACTCGGGTCCTTCCACAGAGTGGCGGACTGCGAGACACAACTCCCCTCGACTCTCTCACTTCGCCGAGCTCGACCAGTAAGTGTCCCTTATATCTTTGTGGTTGAACTGGGTATCTAGTTAGTTGTCGGACCAGACGCAAGATGGAGGACGAGAGATTTGCCGCATACAACAGTCGTGACAATCCAATCGACGCAGACGTATGGTGATATCTTGCTATCTGTCCTCTTCTCATTGAACTCCATAGTACGATGCAAAACCCTCAGCACCTATCTACGCCATCGTCCGGATATGCCAAGGGGTGCATTGTCGATTCACTTCACAGGCGTCTCGGGCACAAACATTGCCCTCCCCCTCTCACCCCCCACCTCCCCCGTCCCTTCCACCGTCCCCTCACCCATATCCTCCTCATCAGTCATAACCATCAACTCCCCCAACCCCTCCCCCGACGCCTCCTCCTCAAAAACTCCATCCCCCAAACTCCCATACGCCCACTCCCCCCTCATCCTACCCCCTCCAACAACTGGCGTTTCCGCCACAAACTCTTTCCTCACACTCCTCTGCCCATCCCTGTCCCTGTCCCTCTCCCTGTCTGAAGAAGCAGGCTCTTCTTGGATGGGCGTAGGATGCCAAGTGAATGATTGAGATTGATGTTTGGGTTTCGAAGGCGTCGCCATGATGAGCGTATCTGCCTCTTGCTGCGCTGCGAAAGAGAGGGAAGAGGAGGAGGTGGATGATGAAAAGTGTTTTGGTCGGAAAGGGTTGGAAGAGGAGGATGTTTTGCGGCCCATGAGACCTCTTTGGCCCAGCTGGGATTGTGACTCGCGGCCTTGGCTGTCCGCCCCTGGGGCCGAAGCAGCACCAGGAGGAGCAGAAGGCGCGAGCTTCTTACTTCCTGCTCGCCGTAAGCCGACTTGGCGCCCTTGGATGTTCATCATCTCCTTCCCCTTTCCGCTCGCCGTCCTGGCCAGCGGCTTCTTGCCCACGCCGCCGATCGTACTAGAAGAGGCCACGGGGAGCGGTACAGACGGGTCAATAGAGACGGACCGCGAACGACGGAACTGCCCCTGCCCTTGACTCTGACTCTGGTTCTGGCTCTGGCTCTGAGACTCCGTCCTCGAAAACGTCCTCACAAAACTCCTCTCAGACCCCACAGACACTTCCAACCCCGTCCTCGAGGGTGCCCTCGACCCCGACCCGGCCGCCGGCTGTCGCTCTCTCTTCTCTGGCCGACCTCTTTCTGTATCCTGCACCGGCGCCGGCGGGAGGAGCGCGGAAGGAGCACGGGAGAAGGAGCGTGCGCGGGAGAGTGAGGTGGAGGTGGAGGTGGAGGTGGAGGTGGATGAGGGGTAGACTTGACCGTCTGCTGAGCCGAGGGCGCGGGTGAGTTTTGGTTTGCGGGACTTTGCGCCGCCGCCGGATGCGACTTCAGCAGAGCTGGTCTTTGGAGGGAAGAGGGTAGCGGGAGCGGGGGTGCCGAATGTCTTTTCGTGATAGGATTGTAAAATGGCAGGGTGGGATTTCAGATAGCTGAACATCATGTCAGTGATTGCGAATGAATAAGTCAAAGAAGGACTGACAATGGCACAAGGACATCATCCCAGAACGCCCTCAACATCATCTCTAAACCATTCTCTTCCTTCTCCTTCCCCTTTCCAGACTTTGCACCACCAGCCGAAGCATTACCAGGCATCCCAGTGAGGTTATCCAAATCCAAGTCAAGGTCCAAACCAGAGAGAGCTTGCCAGATGCTTATCCGATCGAGCAACAAGTCTCTGGCTGTATCCGGCGAAGAGGTTGGTGAAACGTTGGACGTGCGGGAACGTTTGCGTTTCTTTGGTTTGCCTTCTACCAGTGGTGGAGACGACGGACGAGGGGTATGCTGAGTGTACGACAAGAGCATTATGAGTTGTATTAAAGTCCTGATAGTGGTTAGCTCGATGCTTGTAAATGTAGACATGACATACTCTCGCTTTTCGAGCTGATCGGCGACAGTCTTCTGAGCAGGCATCTCCCCACTATCGGCAATGGCCCTACACTCCAGCCTGAGCGCCATCCCAGCTCGGATCACCGCCAGCTCTTCCACCGTCAAATCCTTGCGCGTCTGATCCGCAGATGTACTGGTGGAGATCTCGGGCAGTCTGGTATTACGATGTCGGCTCTCGATAGACGGGAGAGAGATCATAAGAGGGCTCAGAGCATCTGCTATGGCAGGAGGAGGTATTCGGACGATGTCTTGTGCAAAAGCATGCAGAGGGGCGAGACCCTGAACAACGTGAGTTTTGCTTTCTTGTCCTGAGCGAATTACTCACGTCGGGTAGGAAGAGCGTCTCAAGGTATCTCCGTCTCAAAAACAGGTCTACCGGTTCTTGAGGGTATGTACTGGGTCCACTGCAAAGCCTGTCAGCGTCGATACGGAGCACTCGAGTATTACACTCACGCAACGGGAAAGGGCCAATGAGGGGCATTGATCGGCTTGGTGGACTTTGGGAGTGGGCAGGATAGGTCGAAAGGGTAGGGCAGGGGGGTTATGAGGGTCATACTCAGCCTCTTGGTTCTAGAGAACCAAATAGTGTCTGAAAGCAAGCGAGATTTGATACAGATCCAGTCATGACGAAAACGCGTCGCGTCGAACAGTTAGGCACACCCAGTAATATACGCGTCGAAATAGGCATGCGCGACCATACCCCTCTATGCGCCTGTGACGAAGCATCGCATATACGTATACGCACAATAATCACTGCATGATGACAGAAAAATCGATAGTTGGATATACTTGATAGAAAAAGATCTGAAATCTCTATGTTGAAAGACGATACAAATGCTGCTGCTCAAAACCCCATTCTTTCCCCTATTATCCTTCTTTCAACTCCTTGTACTTGTACACCTCTTCTCCTTAGCACCCTCGACCCCCCGCTCAAACATCGAGCAAGAATTTCCAAAGCGCATCCTCCTTCTTATAATCATGATGGATCAAACTGACCAACCACCACTCCCCACTGACGCCCTCCAACAACTTTCTCGCCGCCGACTGTCGCGGGTAAAGTTCCGCCCACTCTGTCCAGATATCGAACGCTTCTTCTTTCCAAGCAAGGAAGGATTCTTGTTCGATGATGGTTGATTGTACGATCTCTTGCCCTGGGAAGACACCCCAGGTGACGGCGTTGACGGCGGAAGAATCTGTGTTGGTCTTAAAGTCGCCCTAGTCGTCTGCGTTAGTACACAACGAAGAACGATGTAGGAGATACGCACCTTTTTATTGGAAGCATAAAGGGTAATCATACTCTTCCCCAACTCATCCACCTTCCTCACAAGCCCCTCCACCTCCTCCGGCCTCACAAAAAACTCTACAAACGCCTTCTGAAACACGTACCCCCCTCTCGGCCCCCACCCAACCACACTATCCTCGCTCTTCGCCGCATCCACCGCCGGCTGCGACCCCACCGTCCAGAAGCACTTGTCGGCAGAATTGAGCTTGAGCAAGTGCGGTAGGATCGTCTGCGATTCCGGGGAGAGCGGTAGATCGCAGAACGGCGTCGTCGGCGTCGCGGGGCTGTTTTGGAGGTACGACGTAAAGAGGGTGGACAGGTCGGATGAGGTGGTGGGGACGCCCCATTCTTTGAGAGCTTGGGCAGCGGTGATTTTGAGACCGCTTCCCCAACCGTCGATTTCACCATAAGCAGGCGAACGCACATCGGTGAATCGACCGTTGGGGAATTCATCCCAGCTGTCTTCGCCTGTGGCCCCAGCGCCGGAGGGGGCGCCTGTAGCGGTAGAGTGTGCTTGGGATTTGGGAGGGAGCGCGGAAGTGAGGCCGAGTTGGGCGAGGTGGGATGCGTCAGAGGGCGAGATGGAGAGGGATGCAGAGTTGGAGTATGACCGGGTCTTGCCGTTGATCGGAATACCACTGGGGCGGGCATCCTCGTCCGACTCGATAAACCTATTCCGGTCAAGACTGCTGACACTGTCCCGCTGGTCCCTCTCCACCCAGTTCAGGTTGTCCAGAATAGTCCGTACACTCTTCTCCAAGTTCAAGGTGCAAAAGTGGACACCGTGGATCTCGCCAGAGTCGAGGATCTGCTTGACCATCTTTGTGGCGAGCGTTGCGCCGTATTGCTTGACGGCGGCGTCGTCAGAGGAGATGGGTTGGAGGTCGGAGGTGATGCTGGAGGGGACGGGGCATTTGGTGAGGTTGACCAGACGGCGGAAAGAGCCGAAAGATTGGATGGGCATGATACCAGGGATGATGGTCTGCTTGATACCTACATCTTCGTCAGCCAGAGAGCACCGCCAATTGATTTCCAAGCCCACCTTGAGCCCGACACTCCTTCACCCACGCCAAAAACCCATCCACATCATAAAACAGCTGCGTCACAATAAAGTCTGCCCCCGCATCACACTTCACCTTCAACCACTTCATCTCATCCTCATCCGTCTCCGAATCCGGATGCGCCGTGGGGTAGCCGGCAACACCGATGCAAAAGTAGGCTCCGTGCTCGGCCCGGATGTACCGCACGAGGTCGTCTGCGTGTTGGAAAAAGTCGGGGACGTTGGGGGTGACGGCGTATTCTTCAGACCTTGGGGGGTCGCCTCGGAGGGCGAGGATATTCTGGATGCCCAGGGCTTTGCATTTCTACACATACTGTCAGCTGTGTCTTTATCATGCATCTTGAAAAACGCACCTGCAGGGCCAAATCGACCTTTTCCTTGGCCATATTCGTGCACGTCAAATGCAGCACCACCTCCACCCCCATCTTGACCACCTGCTCTGCTAGCTCGAGACTCTTCTCTGCTGTAGACCCGCCAGCGCCCCATGTGATGGACACGGCGAGCGGGCGCTGGAGGGGGGCGGAGGTGAGACGGCGGATTCGTTCGAGGAGGTTGACGAGACCGGCGTCGGTGCGCGGGGGGAAGAACTCGTAGTTGTGGAAGGGGCCGTCGTGGGCGGCGATGAGGCTCGTGAGGGGGGGCATCGTGGACGGCGTATAGGGAGAGCGAGAGGCGAGTCGAGATGAAAGAGGGCGAGGTCGGGGAATTAAATAACCTGTGCACTGCTAATTACAGTTTAATCCCGGCAAGTGACCGACGAAAACATCATTCATGGTCATATGAAACGATTATTAGGAATGAAACTATATAGACACCACACGTTTAGGTATCCCACTTGTTCTATAAGAGATCGCCTCCTCTACGTCTCACAACATCCTTATCTCCTCTGCCACTTCAAGAACCTGGCAGCGACCAACAGCACAAGGATGTTGAACACGACATAACAGATAAAGATACCAAAGTCTCTCCACCTCGTGCCAAACTCGATCTCGAGGGGCGTAAAGAAGGCTTCACCCGTTCGGTACTGGCAGAACTGACAGTCGCCGGTAGAGTCCGGGTTGTTGAGGTATCCGCCGACGGCGGTGGCGTAGGCGCCTGCGTACTCGGAACAGGTCTGACCCGAAGGAGCAGCTAGCAGAGAGTCAGTATTTATAGATAAATGATCGGAATGAGTGAGACTCACGGAAGACGTTGTACTCGTCGTCCTTGCAAACAACCTCCACACCCTGCAAACCAGTGGAAACAAGACCACTGATAAGACGGGTAAAGGGGTCGAGGGGCCACATCCAGCTTCGCCAGAAGTAAGGCAACGTAGGAGGAGGAGCGGTGACACCACAGAAGAGGGAGAAGAGAACGAGGAGGAAGGGGTTGAAGAGGGCAGCAATGAGGATAGTGGGCGAGAGGGCGGCGACGGCTTGACCGAGGGTGACGGCGTAGACTTCGGTGACGAGGATCATCAGGAAGAAGTAGCCGGCTCGGGAAGAAGCGTAGGGGAACCCAACACCATAGTAGAGCAAGAGGAAGAAGGAGACGGAACATATCAGAGAGTAGGCTGTGTGGATGTCAGTATGGTTCGGCTAGAAGAGGCAGGACGTACGCATTTCAGCGAGCAACTGAGTCAAAGCGAATACAGTAGAAGAATACATCTTGGAGCTCGCCTCTCGCTACAGGACTGTCAGCTTTGCACATTACCACCCAACTGATAGACTCACGTTGAAAGTCATCCTACTCATGATGTACTGAGGTTCGATTTGAGCCAAAATCAACGCAGGCAAGACGGTAGCAAAGAAGATGGCAAAGACTCGGTACTGGAGAGACTTGAGAGAAGTGTCGAGCTGGAGGAAAGTGAGGGTAACAACGAGACCAATGGCAAGGTGCGCAAAGAGACGAGTCCATTGGTAGTCGGCGTTTCTCCAGAGAGCGGCGTTGGCTGGTTCACAGGTCAGCAACACTCCCCACTTGATGCGATAGAAGACTCACTCCTCTCCAAGACAATCTTGAGCTGGAACATGAAGCTAGTAGCTACAAGCCGGTCAGCACTGTCACAGACTGAAAACTTGTGACTTACCATATTCAGACGCATTGGCATTCTCCTCGACGGGCTGGGCCAAAGCCTGCTCCTTGAGCGCAATAATCTCCTGCTTGACATTCGAAAACTCGGGCGAGTTTCTCCACTTTTCTCCCCAGTCACCTCCAATCCTCTTCCTAGACCCAGCACCGATAACCTCAAGCATATACTCGGCAGGGTTGACATTGCTCGGCACGGGCGCACCGTTTCGCTCGAGATAGTCGATAAGCACCCTCGAGTCGGGTCCGATATCGCCAAAGTAGACACATTCACCACCACGCTGCAGCAAGAGCAGTCGGTCAAAGGACTGGAAGAGGAGAGCGTTGGGCTGGTGGATGGTACAGAGAATCTTTTGGCCGGCGGCACAGAGTTTCTTGAGGAATCGGACAATGTTGTAGGCGCTTTGACCGTCGAGACCAGAAGTGGGCTCGTCCAAGAACAACAGAAGCTCGGGCTTGGCAGCGAGCTCGACACCGATGGTGACTCGCTTTCGGGCTACCATCATGTCAGCTTGATTCTTGGACTGCCATCAGGGAGGCTCACCTTCGACAGAAAGACCGTAACCGGGGAAACCGATCATCGCATCGGCCAAGTCTTGCAACTCGAGCAACTCGAGGATATCCTCCACATAGTCGTCCTTTTCTTGCTTGGCGACGTGCTGGGGTTGACGGAGGTAGGCAGAGTATTGCAAGGCTTCTCGCACAGTAGTTGTCCACTCGTGAGTATCCTGCTGTTCAGCATAGGCACATCCTCGCTGGAAGTCTAATCGCTGTCAGCCCTGATCTCCCACAAATCTAATCGACTTACCAGTGCCAATAGGTCGCCCATTCATCAAGATATCACCCCCAACCACACCAATGTTCTTCCTCGCAGCAAGCACATCCAGCAACGTCGTCTTACCCGCACCAGAAGCACCCATCAAAGCCGTCAACGTTCCCGGCTTGACATAGCCGTAAATGTCGTTCAACAATTGACGGTGACCACCGGGGACGGGGACGGTATAGTTGAGGCCTTCCCAGGTGAAGGGTTCGGGGCGCATCTTGAGTTCGGAAAGGTCTTGGTCGAGTTCACCGGCACGGAAGGCTTCACGCCTGTTGGCGAGACGCTCGTTCTTGGCCTTGAGGTCCTTGTCTTCCTTCTTGTAGACGTTGACGGAGAAGTGCTTGGCCTGTACAACATATCAGCTCACGCCTCACTATATGACAAAGAAGAACTTACACCCTGTTCGAGGTATTCAATGAAGAACATCTGCAAGAACATGAAGAACACAAAGAAACCGCAGAGGATACCAAAGTTCCTCCAGATGTGAGCCTTGTAGTATTCATAACCGGCAGCCATGTAGGCACTGCCGCTGACGTTGGGGTCACCGGGAGTACTACCAGCGATGGAACACATCTGGTTGGGGCCCAGAGTATCGCTATCCAGACGTTAGCTATGCCTTCATCGAGGACACTGAGGAGAGGCTACTCACGGATAACCAGTCACGCCGAGAGATGGAATATTCCTCGGGATAGTATAACTGTCATCACAAACCAGCGTGATCCTGGAAAACTCGTTGGCAAAGATGGCTTCGTATCCATAAGACAACGGGTTCAAGTCTATACTCTCGTATCAGCAGATGGTCGACTGAATGATCTCGCGGGTAGACTTACAGAAGATCCAGAACAACCACCTCTTCATCTCCTGCACGGGAATCATATAACCAGTGTACGTGACCATGAACGAGATTAGTACAGAGGCCAGACGAGCCGCTACGTTATAGTCGGACGTCGCCACACCGAGGGTTCGGAAGAATGACGCTACATCTCCATCAGCTCTATGCCTATCCAAGAAGGGGAAGGTGACATACACATGACCATGAACGTAAGGAAGATAAACAAGAAGAACATGAAGAATGCTCCGCCCGACGAGTAGAGACCGCCCATAAAGTAGAGGATGAGGGAGAAGATGAAGATGAGCGAAGCGTTATAGGGGATATCGGCCATGACTGACGCTACCGCCTGGAATATTTGTCAGCCTTTCCTCTCTTGCTAGTGATGAGGGAACTTGCAAAAGCAGCAGGCCTGTAGAACCGGTACTCATTCTGCCTGTACAAGACACTTCGACCCAACATCTGGGAAGGAAGTTCAGAGAAAGAGGTAAGAGCGTTGAACAAAAGACCCAAGAAAAGCAGACCACCTCGCGTGAAGGCGCCGGAGGCAGACTCGGGAAGACGGAAGTAGACAGAACCGACGATGAGGGCGATGATCTGTGCAAAAATCAGCGTTTGTTGTTCTGACAAAGAAGGAAGGCAAAACGACATACAATAGAAGTAGCGTAACCGGTAGAGATACCAAAAGTATCCTGGAACTTGAGCCTGATCTGTCTCTTGAACAAGATCCAAATCTGGGACCCAAACGAAACCGTGAACGGGCTCTTCTTCCCCACACCCTTGTGCTTCTGCTCCATCACCGCCTGCCTGAAATCCTCTTGCGCAGTGGCATCCTTCTTGATCAAAGCGGCGTACTCTTCCTTTTCCTGCGTCATACGGGCGCAGATGGCGGATTCGCGGTAGGCGGCACCCATCTCTTCGGGGGTGGCGGGGACGTTTGAGGCGTCGCGGCCGTCGGCGAAACGGCGTTCGTTGACGTCGGTACAGCCGGAGAGGTAGTCGGCGGTGGTTTGACGGGGAAGGTCCTGTCGCCTATCAGCGCCTGATCCTGATACAAGTAGAGATACTCACTCGGTAACCGAGGCCAATCATGTACTGCCTGGCCTCCTTGGCGGGACCAAAGTACGCCACATGCCCCTCGTTCAACACCAAAACCTTGTCAAACTGATCATAGATACCTTCACCAGCTTGGTAAAGAGATACAAAGGTGGTCTGGTTCATGATATCGGTAAGAAGACGGAGAGACTTGGCATAGTCGAGAGCGGTGGAGGCGTCGAGACCACGGGTAGAGTTATCCCAGGAGCAGACGGCAGCGCCGGAGCAGAACATTTCGGCGATGGAAACTCGCTTACGTTCACCACCAGAGACACCTCGGACGTAGGCGTTACCAACCTACTCAACTTAGCTTCATCCCCAATAAAGAAGAAGGAACGTACGATGGTGTTGGCGGTGTGTTTGATGTTGAGCATGGACAAGAGCAAGTCGAGGAGGTCTTCCTGGAACTGGGCGGGGGTGACGCCAGGAATCTTCTTGCGGGGAGTCTTCATGGCAAGGGCGAAGCGGATGGTCTGGGCGACGGTAAGAGTGGGGAGATGGTCGTCGTCTTCTTGGTTGTAAACAACCTCACTGCATAGGCGTCAGCAAGATAAGGAGAGATAAGCTTAGAACACTCACCCGCCGTATCGCTTCCTCATCTCCTTCCACGGCACACCAGCATACTCGACATCCCCCTTGACCTCCATAAAGCCCGCTCGCTGGTTGGTGATAGTCTTCAAAAAGGTCGTACAACCAGCTTCGGGTCGACCGAGCACAAGACACATCTCGCCTGGCTTGAGCAAACCGGAAGTGGGGTGGATGATGGTCTTGGGCTTGGGGGCGAATGGGTTGTGGCCGACGGCACCGAGAAGCTTGATGACGGGCATCATGAACTGCTCCATTATGGCGGACGAAAAGTTTCGAATGTTGATCTTCATACCACCGGCGCCAATGACTTCGAGGTCGTCCCAAACAACACCGACGGCTTTGCGCTTGATACCAGCCTCGTCCTGGTTCTCTCGGTTGGACCGAAGGACATCGGCGAGATGGAATTCGCCCTCTTCTTCCTTCTGTTTCTCGGCCTCGTCAGCCGTAAGACGGGAAGTGACCCGATCGCTGCGCGAAAAGGTGGATCGGAGAGACTGTCGGGTGGTGTGTCGCGCGAGCTCGTTTGAGTGTTGCGAGATGGACGAGTACTTGCGCTCAAGGGCTGCAAAGTCGTGTTTACCACGCGAGACAGAGACGTGGTGGGGCTCAAGCTCGGCCACGACATCCTCGTTCGAGTTGGACGTAAGTCGCTTGGCCTTGCCGTTGGAGGAGCCGGCGGCCTTTTCGTCGATCTCGTCCCCGGCGAGGGTGTTGCCGCCTGAGGATCGCTTGTCGTCGAGGGTGGGGGTCTCTGAGGTGGAGGGGGGAGGGCCAGAGGTGACGTGGGAGGTGTCGCCGCCGGTAGTGGCCATGGTGGTGGCGGTGAGGGGTGCGCCGAGGTTGACGGTATCCCCTGGGACGCCAGTAGCGGACATGGTGGGGGGTAGCGCTGGGTTGTTGCCTGTGGGCGTGGGGGTCGAGAGGAGGAGAAGAAGAAAGAAGGGGTTGTTGGTGGATCCCTTTAGACGGGAGAGATGCAAACGAGAGATGAGTCAGCTTTTCTCTTTTGTATATGTATCGAACGAGGCCGATGGACATCTTCTTTTCAAATTTGTTCTCGGCCTTCGGTCTGGTTGGTAAAGAAGCTCGGCATCGCGTCCTGCATGCATCATACGGCTCCCCACTGCCTGCCCAGCTCCCCGCTGCCAAGGTTTTTGCGGCTCCTAAGGAGGGACCCTTGGACGTATGTACGACCATGTTGCAGAAATACCCCTTCCGGAGCCGGGTGCACGCGTTTTTCGAGTAAACAGCGCATAAACAGGCGCCTTACCGCGGAACCCGCGATAACAGCGCCGGCTAATGATTATCTGATCCCGCTAATGGCCATTCACAAGATAGCGAAGGCTTCGGGCTGCTTCTGTGACGGTTCCGTCGGCATGCTCTCGGTTCCGCCTTGTTGATCTGTCTGATCATAATGGGCAGGCACGCCGCCAGGGTCTCGATACCGCAGCGCTGTGCGCCGTTGGGTGCAGAGTTCAATGACAAACACGGGCGCCGTCAATCCCGTATGTTCGGCATTCGATCGGCAGACTCGCCTAGTCCGGAAAGGATGCATGGTTGTGTGGTGTTTCGGCTGCGTCAGGAGCGAGAGGGGATCGATTGTGTGTCCTGAGCAGTCTGAGAGTGGTTGAAGAGGACGAGAAGGGGTGTGCAAGGTGTTTACAAGTACGTCTGGCGATAGATGGCGGGTAGTGGTGGGGGATTGCCTCATCCCCGTGCTCGCGCTCGCGCTAGCTCGTTTTTGCCCGTCGGCTTTATCAGGTCTTATCTCATATCTTAATAGAGGGGATGTTGATTTTGGCAGCTCACAAGCATTGTCAGGCATACGGCACCACATGTCCTTCGAGCGCCTCCCCATGCGTAGTCGTCACACGTTCCATTTGAGCCTGAGGTAAGGCGTAGCGTAAAGTGGCAGAACAGCGAATCATAAATAAAGTAGGGCGATTTTGAGTGGGAAGAAAGATGGCGGGGGAAAGAAGGATACTCTTTGCATGTCCACATATAGATATAGCAGCTTCAGCACGCTCCCCCTGGATCTGGGCTCTGGGCTTCTTGTCTCCGGGAGGCGCAAAGGATGTATGATCGTGATCACGATCGATCCAAACGTTCAAGGACGCAAAAGCAAGTCGCGTCGCCGCCACTGATCGCTCAACATCAAATCTGCTCTTCGACTTTGTCCATCGAGTCATAATCAGATGCATGCACATGACAGCAGACATCTAATGCGGCTGATACTGGAGACTGACCTGACCCAGGGAATCGAAGAAGAAGAGACAGGAGACCCCGGCGACGACTCATGTTGAAGGATAAATTGGTGCGTGGTGGCGGTGGCGCGCATTGCCCGCCCAGGCAGTATCGCAATCCTCAGCCTTTATCATCAGTAGAACTCCAGATCCTATGGATAAAAGAACAACCGTTACTCAATACATGTCTAGCCTTGCGACCATATCAGTCCACTGCAAGGACTCAGCGGGGCGGGGCCTGGGTATGGCTCTCTACATCCTCACAAAAACCTCAAATGAATGGAAATGATGGATAATCAATTCACTTTCCTATATCCTATACAACTTCCCCTCTTTTGGTACGTCTAAAGAGTGGCAGGACTACCTGTCCCTCCTCGATGACTGCCGCTGGAGGCTTTCATAAAACGCGTCCCCGGATGCCTGTGCAAGAGCAGAGTTCTCATCCAGCTCCTCATTGTATCCAGAAGCCGGCTGTTGATACCCCATAGTGCCATCCGTGGGCGTCGTCCCGTACCCCAAGGACTCGAGATCCTCCGCATTCATGGTGGTATAGTAGTCGAGCTGCTGCTCGGGGGTCATAAACTCAATAGCAGACCATATATCCCCAGAGGAGGGGCCAGCATTCGCTTGAGGGTTAGAATGGGTAGACTGCGCTTGTGACTGGCCGCGGCCGCTGCTCTGCTTACTTTCCTCATATGCCTTGGCTTCCGCCCTACTGGTTCTGTCTGTAGGTCAAGATATCAACATACGGACCGCGCTCCTTCCCTTCGTCGTGCTTAACTCTCCGCCATACATGGAATCCATCGCGAAATTCCTTAGTGGATGTTCTGACCGAGAGCCAGGTGGTGGCAAAAAGGGCCAAAGAGCGTACCTATAACGCGAACTCGTATTTTATCGAGTTCACTTCTTTCAGACATTTTGATATGCTTCTTGTTCCCCTTCTTATAGGTAATGGGCGGTAACTTTATGCGCTCGTAATGAGAGCCACCTTCCCATGCTTGACCTGTCGAGTTGCCCTCCCCGCCCTGGAAGCAGTTCGATTCCAGTAGAAAGGCCACCACAGAGAAGGAGGAGTCAAAGATTCGTGATGATCGTCAGTGACAACCTACCAAAGCCGTACAGAGTACGTACATCACTCTGAGCGACCCGGTAGCACTCGCCCTTTCCATCAATGTAATCAATACCCTGGGAGGCAAGATAGGTCATCTCTTCTTGGGTGACATTCATTGTGGTGATTGTGTCAACTTCTTTTTCCGTCTGCTACTAAGTAGTCGTCTTCCTGGAGTTAGTGAATGGGGGACAAAGTACGCTGATAGTCGTATCATGACACTCTTATACATTTCGAAGAGCTGGCATTGAACCAGAGGAGATATCCCCGCGATTCTCATGCACAATGGAATAGCGCCGAGTCCGAGATTTCAAATCATATGTTGAACAGATCCCATGTAGATGATGTGAGATGATCACGAGCTTTCTTTGTATTCTCCTTGTGCCGGTAATTTCCTCAATCCCCCTTGCAAGTATCTATGACCATAAGGCTATCATAAACTGTATAATAGCAAACAGTATTCGCTCACTTTTACCCTCGTTCTACTCTATTATGCGTCCAATGTGCACAACCGTCCTTTTTGCAACAACGCATGAACAGCATCAGGGCAGCATACAAATACATACTATGGCCTCGCTTGTCAACATCATGAGCCCTGCAACAGCCTAAGCGCCAAAGCCTCCTCATCCTCCATATCTCCCTCATCACTATCTTCATCCCTCTTCGCAGACCTCTTCTGCTTCTTTGTTCGCCGTTCGGGGGATGGTGATCTCGATGGTGAGCCATACGAACCGCCCTCAGCATCACTGCCGTCTTCGCTCCCGCCGCCAATGTATGCAAGCGACTCGCCGGCTTCGATAGCACGCAACTACACACCCTGTCAGCATGCCTCCTGCCACGTCGAACCACAGTGACTCACCTCCTTCTCCCTATCCTTCCTCTTCCTCTTCAACTCCTGCTTCTTCCCTCTCGCCACCTCCTTATCAATCTTGTCTTGTATCCTCATAATCTCCCTCTCCTTCTCCAAGAACGCCTTCCTCCTCTCCTCATTACTCTCCTCCTGCTCCACCTCTTTCCCAGACTTGTAAAAGTCACGCGCCTCGCCAGTCTCTTCATCAAAGATGACCTTCTCCGGCGCCGGCCTGTCTTTCAAGAGCGCCTTCTTCGACGTGGCCGCCTTGAGCTTTCGCTTCGACAGATCTTCAGACGAGATGAGCGGTTTCTTCAGTTCAGCCTTGAGCGCTTCCGTATCCACATCATCATCGCCTTCGTCCCCGGAGAGTTGGTGGTCTTTTCGGGCGAGGGTGAAGACGTCGTCGTTGTCGTCGTCTTCGGTGGAGATGAGGGCGGTGTAGTGAGGGGTGAGGATGTCTTGGTTTTTGCGTTCAAACATGCGGTCGTATTTGGTTCGGAAGGCTTGGGATTTGGGCTGGCGCGGGGGGTCAGCTCATAACTACAACTCGGAAAGAGGCGCTTACTTTGTCGGCCTCAACTTCAGACTCGCTCTCCTCATCCTCTTCACCTTCTTCGTCAGACACACTCTCTTCATCACTTCCCACAACACCCCCCACCTCCGCATCACTCTTTTCACCTTCTTCCTCTTCTTCAACCTCAGCCTTCTTGTCCCCGCCCATGACCTTCTCCGCCTTCTTCTGCGGGCCCAACTTGATCTGCGGTGCTCCGGGAAGACCCATAGACTCGGCGTACGCATCGGCAGGGAGTTTGTCGATTTGGAAAATGGTCTTGTCTTTTTGCAGGTGGATCGATTTCATATACGAGATGAATGCCTATACCCGAGTCAGCTTGCGTTCTTTCAAGAGGGGGACGGAGAGAGAGGGACATACACGCTGGCCGAGATACTTGATCTCTGGCTCCTTGAACGCAAAGTTCTGCATCGACTGCTTCAGCCCACCCATCTTGCTCTCCTTGATCTTGATCTTTTTCACATCCAAAAGCTTCTCCTCCCACCTCGCCTTCATACCCTCCTCCTCGCTCGGGCACAGGAAAGTGAGCGCAGTACCAGACGACTGGTATCGCGCCGTACGCCCGACACGGTGGATGTAGGTATCGACGTCTTCTGGACAGTCGAGCTGGATGACCCAGTCGACACCGGGGAAATCGAGACCTCGGGCTGCGACGTCGGTGCAGATAAGGAGCGCCGTCTTTTGAGAAGAATAGCGTTGGAAGATGTCGAGTCGTGTCGGCTGTTTTTGTTTGCCGTGCAAGTGCATGAGAGGCAGACCAGGGTGCAACCTGCGGAACGTCTCAAAGATGAACCTCACTTGCTTTCCACTCGTCGCAAACACAATCCCCTTCATCTTCAAATGACTCTTCACAAAGCCCCACAAGGCGTCGAGCTTGCGCTCGAGATTGACGACGGCGTAGAATTGCTCGAGGTTGGCGGGCACGGCGCCTTCTTCGCCGGGCTTGTTGCAAGAGATGTACATGGGTTGGTAGAGGGAGAGTTTGGCGAGGGCGGCGAGGTCGGAGGATTGGGTGGCGGAGAAGAGCATGGTTTGGCGGGAGGGGCGGGAGTTGGGGAGAGTGCTGGCGGTAAAGTGGCCGACGATGGCACGGAGCGCTGGGAGGAAACCAAGATCAAGGAGTCGGTCTGCTTCATCAAGAACTAGTGATCGTCAGCTCCGAGTCATAGCCGTAAGGCAGTACTCACTAAGCACCTTGACGCCAGCAGCGTCAAATCCGACAGTACTATCCAAGTGCTGCAACAATCTCCCCGGCGTGGCGATGAGAATGTTCATCCTCCCCAACCTCTCCTGCTCTTCTTTCAAAGGCTTTCCACCGATAACAAGACCCGCTGAAAAGTTGTGGTATTTGCCGATATCCCTCAGCTGGGTGAACGTCTGCACGGCGAGTTCTCTCGTCGGCGAGATGACCACCGCGCCGAGACCGTCCATGGGACCCCACTTTTCGAGGTATAACCGTTCCAACATGGGAATCAAGAAGGCAAGCGTCTTGCCTGAACCTGTCTTGGCGGACCCGAGGATATCTTTGCCTTGAAGTGCTGAGGGTATGGAGAGGGATTGGATAGGGGTAGGGGTGAGGAAGTGGCTGCTTTTGAGACCTTTCTGGGTTTTGTCGGATAGGGGCAGCTCGGTGAACTGTGTGATCTCTGAAGGTGGCTCCTGCATGATGGTCAGCATACTCTATACTCTAAGCGTCATGGTGCTCACAAAACTGTCGACCCGGCTCTTGAGTTCCTTGAGCTCATCGTTCGCCTTGTTCCTCTTGAGCTGATTCGACTTGATTTTGGGCTGGGGCTGTCTTCCCTTGCCGCCCTTGCCCTTCACTGGGGCCTTGCTTGTAGAAGCCTTGTTCTCTCCTGCCATGTTGTGCGTTTCCGGTACAGGTTCTTGAAAGTCAAAATGTTGCGTTCATGAAGATTTATGCCTGCGTGCCTTACGGAACCTTTTTCGGAAGTGCGACCGCTGCCAGCTGCCTGAAGAAGAGGATTCGACATACTTTTTCATTTATCTCCTTGTCTTGTGCATGTATCTTGTCGCTTGGAATTGCACGGCATACATGGGATATGGATACACCTTTCTTGAACTCACTGAGACGATTAGCGTCTAACGACGCCTCTTCCTTCCCCTCAGCGCGTCTCAGCCAGCCCATCGCCGCCGATATCGATCTCCGATTCCTCGGTCCTCTTCATCTATTCCTCAGCCCAAAACCATGGTCAAATCCGAGTCCAAAAGGTCCTCCGCCCGCTCGACTCCAGTCAAGAAAGACACCCACTCCATCTCCAACCCCACTCAACGCGTTCGGGTCGGACGGTGACCCAGCCCGAGGCGACGACCTCGCCCTACTTGGCGACCTGTCAAGAATGTGAGAAGGATGGTGAAGAAGAAGATGAGAGGCTACCGGATCCGTAACCTCGCGCGTCATTCTAGCTACTGAACTTCAACTACACCACGGGGGGGATTTGGTGTCCGGATAAAGAGCAGACGGCCTAGATTCGGCACGCGTTCATGACGGATCCGGACAGGTTTTGGAAGGTGATTGGGGAAGAGACTTTTGTGACAACTTTTGGGAAAGTGACGCCACCGGGGAAAGGGAAGGATCAGAGACGGAGTGTACAGCATATGGCAGGGACGATCAGTTGAAGGTGGCGCCCAAGGGGGTGGACAAGGCGGACAAGGATATCGACCTGCTCAAGTTGAGGACTGTTGCTGTTGTTCACTAGCACGTCCCTCTTTGCCCTCCCGAGTGTGCTGCAGAGCTGACGATGATCTAGCTTTATTACGGACGAAGAGGTCCTGCAGCCGACATTCCAAGATACCGTCAGAGCAGTGGCGAGAACGATGGTACCGTTCATACGCCTGTATACTACGAATACCGGTCTGAGTGCTGATGAGAAGCAGGTTGAATGAATACCTCACGTAACGGTCCCGGACCCTTGCCTCGTCGTGCGAGAGAAGGACCGGGGGATGGCATGTATCTGTGCTATTGTCTTCTTCTTCGCTGGCTTCTTCTTCGCTGGCCTCCGGTGAACGCGTTACCAAGACTTCCAAAGCCAAGCCCCTCCTGCAGGCCCAGACTAGAACGTATAAACGCTGTACACAAGTCATATTAAAGCTCACTCTGCATGCTATCGCCGTACACTTGTACTCAATTCAAGACGCTTCACCCAAACTTGTCAACAGCGGGAAGAAGGAGCCCGACCTCCGTCCTCGCTCGTCATCAAACACTATTACTACTGTTGTTGTGTACTTTCCCACCACAGCTCCCCAAAATTGGCAGACATCGCGTCCATCTCCGCTTGGGAGAGTGGGGGCAAGTTGGACTCGTCATCGAAATCGGGGATTTCGCCATCCACGGGAAATCGGGAATCGTAGTTGTCGTCGGGTTGTGCGGTGGACGTTGTACTTTTCTCTTTATCTTTGCTGGCTTTCTCTTCCTCCACTTTCTTTTGTCTTTTCCTTTCTCTGTGTTCTCTTGTTCTATCCCTGTCTGCAACATTGCGAACGTAAGCAAATTGTCCATGTCTGGGACATTTGTTTGGAGGGAGGAAAATGTGACGGATCGCTTACTATAATCGCGGAGCCTGGTTCGCGAGTCTTCGTCCATCTCTGACATGGCAACAAGTGTTCTGTCTCGTCTCCCTGGTCGTAGAATACTTGACTCTGTAAGACGTTGTCCAACAAGTCAGCAATCGCGTCAGGCACGAAAAGCAAGTTATGGAGTCAACAAGAATCATACCTGGGGGGGTCCAAGAGGAATACTTGCTACGGAGCTACTACCTGCTTGAGCCGTCCTCGGGAACTGTATTCACACAACTTCTCATCAGCCATAGCTATGTTTCGAAAGTCGAATGAAAAGAGTATTACCATATGACTCGAGTCAGGCGACGCCCAATATCCGGCGTTCATCATTTGGAGAGATTGGTTGGGCAGGGGTTCTTGTCCGTATTGCGAAAACTGCTGGGACTGCTGCATCTGTCAAAGGGAGGGTTGCATGGCCCCATATCGTCAGCTTCTTTACCGCCTGTGACTTTCAGAGACCCAGGGTTCAGTCGGACGTAGTCGTTAACGACATAATCTCATCCACCTACTTCTTCTACGCCGCGCCCGCCTACTATATCGACGGCGCGAGAGGAGCTAGACTACGGCACAAGGCAGAAGACCCAGCCCCCTGTCCCCACATCGACCTACGTCATAAGATAGAGACGCACCTGTAACCAGTAAGGGTGACTGGGGTCAGACATGGGGTCGCTGTAGGAACCACCAGCACCGCTCAGGTCGTTGAAGTCTCCTCCAGTAAAGGGTTGTTGATCTTGCTGCTCGTCGCTCATGTTGATCCAGCTATGTTGCCTTCGGAAGGGGTGAATGGATCAACTTCTCAGGTCATCCAAGGTCCTTATATACATCCGATGGCAGCCCCAATGCTTCAAGTTGTGTGCAAAGAATTCACAGCGAGGGAAAGTTTTACACCGCCCGCCGAAACTCAGTTCAGCCCGATACACGTAGATTCCCACGGGCGCTTTTGTCTCACCTGACTGTTACGGGAATCGAGTTGAAAGGACAAGGAAGGAGAAGCGGCTGTATTACATTTCGACAGATTTGCGAACGGTGAAAGAAAAGGTTGACTTCTTCATGGCCAACGACCTTTTCCCGTAGGGATAGATTGTGCGAATGATGGATGTGCATCACGGTCGTCCTGGCGTCAGTATCCAGGCCTCACGCAAGTGCCGTCGTCTCAGTCTGGGACCAAAGGACCCATGGGAACCTGACCTTTGATTCAGTGTTGTATGCGGCACATCTCGCGTTCTCTATTTTGCGTCTTGTCCGACATCTGACTAGATACCATAATCTAAACAAAAAGATATGAGGGACACTTACTGGTCGAGCTCGGCGAAGTGAGAGAGTCTAGAGGAGTTGTGTCTCGCAGTCCGCCACTCTGTGGAAGGACTCGAGTCTGCCAATATGGCTTGCTTCACTGAGCTCTACGCACCCATCGGACGCCCACCACTGTTTCTCCCATTTAATCTAAGGAGTTCATCTGCAGAAGCATCTACAGCTTAAAGAGCCCAAAAGATGCATCTACAACCAAGCGCCTATACCCCTACTTTTTCCGCGTCAGTCTCATCAAGCTCACACCTTGCCTCCCATATCTCTCCCTCTCCCCAGGCTTGTCATCTTCCACGAACGCATTCGTAAAGTGCTTCTTGAGCTTGGCAAAGAACTTTTTGTCGGCGTTGCGTCGCTTGTTGTAGGCGAATAGGATTCCGATGGTTTTGCCGAGGGGGGCGACGTCGCAGAGGGTTCGGACGAGGAGAGGGAAGGCGGGCTAGGGGCGAGGGGTCAGTGAATGGGGTCAGGAAATATGGCGAAGGGCTCACTTCAGAATAGACGCAGTCCGCAGCTAGGATGACTTCGATGTCTTCGATCGGGATATCGCTGCTGACAGATTCGCCCCAATTGAACTCTGTGACGTGCACACTGTCATTCTCTTCGCCCAGATTCAGTCTAGTGTTGGTCTCCATCAGTTCAAGGAGGGCGCTATACATTCAGATCAGCGATGTGGGTAAGAGAAGAGTAGGGGAGAGGACGCACGCTGATCAGTGATCCAGATTTCGGACGAGGGCTCTAGCATCGCCGTCACCAAGCAGGCCTGTACCAGAGCCCAGCTCGAGTATCTTTTTCCCCTTCAGCCTCTCAGGCTCTAGACTATGCCTATACACCAGGTATCTGCACATGACCTGAAACCCCCATCAGCCGAAACGCACCACTCCACAATAATCGCGAACTTACCTCTCCAGCGGGCCAATTAACACCTCCACACCCGTGCGCAGCATCGACTACTAGCTGTACATCTTTCCCAAGTCCTTCTACTTGGACCGATAGGTTTTGTCGTCCGCCTGTGGCGGCCGGTCGCGGGGGCACGTACTCTTCGAAAGAGGGAAGAGGCGCGGTTAAGGGAAGTTGTGGAGGAAGAGCGGGAACGAGGAGGAGAGGGAAGGGGGCGGTCATATATAGGATGGGGGGGGGGGCTGAGTAGGGGTGGTGGGCGATTCTTGTACTCTTTTGTAGATTTGCAGAAGATAGAACAGTGATACCTCATCAAGAAGCTGCACTTGCAAGAGGAGCATAGAAACGCAATCAAATAAGCTGCATTGGTGAGTCACCGTGATCCGTCAGTGAGTAAGTAACCCACCTGCGATCTGCAAACAGCGCAGGAGGGCCACGAGCAGCTCGTGAGAGAAAATTCGTGCGATTCTGTGAGAGAGCCCTCGCGGGGAAAATATGCGGAAGAGCAAATGACCTTACTGACGGTTTCTGAAGTCCGCCAATACTTGAAGCCAGTTTGACCGCAGGTTGGATGACTATTTTCAGCATACAGCTGCCCAAGATTGTTTGCCATGGAAGCAAATGTATGAGGCCGTGAAACCGGATTGAGCTAAAGTCACCTACAAGGAGGAAGTGATAGATATATTCCAAAACTGTCTGAAAATTTATATATAGAATTGACCTAGCTTGAATGGTAGAGCATGGAGCTGTTTTGTTCAGTCACAGCGGTGTTTGCTTGTCATTTTTCCTGTGTGTCGGCCTATCAGATGTCCTCTGGCGCTAGTGTACCATTTATAATAAGGCGGACAGTGGTCGACTTCTTCATCATCTAGTTAGGCATAGCATCGCCAGCAGTTCGGCATACCACCACCATGAGCGGCAGCAATGATCAGTCCCAGCCCTACGACTATTCTTAACCAACGGTACGTTCTCCTACTGACACCATGCGTTCTGTTTCTACGGGGCCGAAGAATGAATATGGTAGCTGAATGTCTGGGTGTTTCATTATCCAGTTCAACGGTTTCGATCAAATGTACGAATACGACGAATCTGGTCAGCAGTACGATGTGCACAGCGGCATGCCAATGACGGATGCATCGATGATGATGATGACGGGTGGAACTCAACAGTATGGTGCCAGTGGGGCCTCAGCAGAGTCTTATGGAGCTGGGACGACGTATGACAACGTGGTAAGTGCAACAACCTCTCCCCTCCATCCTCCCACAGAGCTCTCCTCTAGTCATCAGACACTTTCAGCCACACATTGAAGACTTGGTCGTTACCGATGATCTTTCCGCTGATTGTCGTTGCGTAGTCTCGGCAGCAGACCGCACAGCCTAGCAGCGGCACTTCGGGTCGAAAGGGGCCCGGCAGGCCTAGAAAAGGTGCGTTGTTGTTCTCCTTTTCTCAGGGTGGATCATCAATGGTATTCGACTTGTGCTTATGATTCTGCATGCCATCATCATCAAGTCTCGATGCCATACATCCCACAGACGAGAATGGCAACCAGATTCCGATATATAAGTTGAGTCATGATAAGCAAAATGAATGTCGTGAATACCGTAAGCACATCTTACCATGTCGCTCCAACAATATGAAAAGTATAGTCGTCTGAATGAACGGTCATTGTAGGCAGACAAATGAGAAGAAACGCCCAAGAGCGGAAGAGAGCTCAGGCGGCGGCAGCAGAGGCATCCAATAGCACGGCGCCTGCTACGCTGGAAGACGACGACGCATTTCCGTCGTTTGTTGATGAATCTGCCCACAACCAGCTCACCGAAGAGGACATGGCAGAACTAGAGGATGAATTCGGTCAGGTCTGCTTGGATATGTTCCAGCAGGGGCAAAGTGGGGGACCGTCCGAGTGAAAAGTATCAGCTGTAAGGGATTGGTACAGACTGGCTAGTAGGAGGAGATGTGGTGACGTGTACTATGGAACACAGGGTTTGGTGACTAGGTTGCCCCTATGGCCTCAGGGATGCGTAGGCGGGATTGCGAGATGAGGTTCCCACATATATACATCGTGCCGCGTCTCCGTATACTTTTCCTTATCGATGTATTCTCGTATTATCCTCTACACCTATATCCATCCTTCTTCCCTCCAGCCTATTCAAGGTCGACATCTAGCGCCCATAGCTAGATCCACCGCGTAGCCGCCCCTAGGTTACGCTTCATGTCACGTGGCTGTCGCCACTTGACCAAACACCCGAGCCAAACACCCGAACCTCCACCTCCCACGTCCGCGTCGAGCCCACATCTTGCCACCATCTGACTATAACATCCATCCATCTACCTCCGCGGCCGAGCTATACCAGCACCGCCTTCGAGATCAAACCTTCACGGGCAAGAATGGAAATACGCGGAGATAGAGAGAGCAAACCCATTCCACCACTTTCGAGAACATTCTTTCGCCACCAGGTTGGCCGATGTAGTTGATTCTAGAGGTTTCGACGGAGGATACGATGAGTAAGCAGACTTGAGGTGCCAGGGTATATAAGGACGTGTCTCCATAGCTGTAGATACTTCGTCGATCCACTATTGTTGTCTTCTCTAGTACACACTTTCTCTCTCTCGCTCAACACACTCGTACAACCGCTATCTTCCTTCGGCATTGGTCTGGCCACTCACTTCGAGTTCTCAGACCATTTCGTCTCTACCCCTCAGCGACCTCTGAAGGCATAGCCTAAGGAAGGTAGCCCCCTGACACTTCACCTTTCCACCACCTTACATCAGCACCACCATTGCATAGTAGGCTTTGGTCTGATCAGTACACGTTGGCAGCATTCTACAAGGGAACGAGGATGGTAGTATGCAGATATTTGGAATAAAGAGTGGGCTCGAGAATGAGAATCTCGCAAGAGAAGAATCAAGCTCCTCTTCTTGATACGCACATCATCAGCTTATAACTGCACCCAGGATGATCAGCTTGCAGAAGCTCTCATGATGACATGATCAAGCGGAGCGGATGCTCAACCTTGAGAATTGTACGCTCGGAGCCTCGTATTCGGTGGTGACCTGGAATGTACTCGAGTACAGTATATAAAGGTCAGTGATCTGATACAATGGTTGAAATTGCTCGCGCTCTCAAGAGAGACTGACTCTTGAATCCTAATCACATTCTACCAGCAGCAGAACACAAGAAGGTAAAAACAGCGTTGACTTTTCCTTCGTCGAATCCTCACACAGGTGCGTCCTGTCACGCCAACGTAAATTTCTATTACAACGCCAGCAGCTTTGCTGATAGGTCCCATCTATTAGCGAAAGGAGACACTCCCCCAAAAACCCCAAAACAAAAGGATGGAAAGGATCTTGCCGTATCTGAGATGACTGAAGCCCCAAGCTGCCAGAATTGGTGAGCATAGTAAGTAGACGGCCGTCGTCGTCCCTAAATTTTCAGCCCTGCTGCCTCATTCAACACTGTCTCGGCAAGACATGTTGTCAAGCAGTGTTGAGCCAGGAGACAGCGTACATTGATTTCGATTCTCGTAGACCTTGCCTTTTTTCCCACAGACAGAAAACAAGAAAAGGATATCAACACAAAAACCAATCGTCAAACGCGTATACCGACCCCCTTGACGAGTCTCAGTACCGTCCACTGACTGAACAAGAATCTAGTCGAGCAGTCCAAGAGCTTTGACAACATATGGCGGGACAATAACATCAGCAAGGTTCAGCAACCGCAACAAGTACTCGTACGCTTCAACGAAACCCAGCATGGAAAGGAGGGGAGGGGGCATGCATCTTTCTTGTCATTTGCATGGTAAAAAGTCTTTTTTCTGTTATGAAAACTACGAAACGAAACGATTTTCCTTTTTTTGTTCTGTATTCACACAGAGACACAGAGGAATGGGTTTTTGAGAAAAAATGTTTTGAAAAACGAACGAAGTGTGATTTTTCTGTTATGTATATTTCTCCTCCTCCTCCTCCGCCCCCTTCCTCTTCCTCCTTCCTCCTTTCGGATTTCCATCCCATCCCATCCAAACACAACTCCAACCACATCTCCAAAAGCGCAACAACGTCCACTTTTTATGAAGTCATATAAGTAGCCGGGTCCACCGTCTCTGGCAACGTCGGGATAGCGACCGTAAACCTCTCTTGAATCTTTTTCAACACCTCCTGATCGGGTTCGGTCGAGACAAACGAGATGGCGAGACCTTTGGTGCCGAATCGGCCGGCACGGCCGACTCTGTGGAGGTACGAGTCGGCGTCGAGGGGGGCGTCCTGAAGGTTTTGGTCCCATGGTTAGTTGGCGTTCCGGGGAGGAGGGGGAGGGGAAAAGGAGAGGGAGGGAGGGGGAGGGGGGAACGTACATAGTTGATGACGACGTTGACTCGCTCCACATCGATACCTCGACCAAAGATGTCGGTAGCGACGAGGATACGCTTCTCGAAAGCCTTGAACTGCTGGAACCTCGAAATTCTACCCCAATCCAATCACATCAGCTCCCACCCATCCCAATCAATTCCGGAAGAAGAGAAAGACTAACCGCTCAGCCTGCTGCAACCCCGAATGAATACAAATACTCGGGAAATTACACTCCTGCAAAAGCTTGTCCAACTGCGTCGCCCGCTGCACGCTCTTGACAAAGATGCACACTTGGTTAAACTCGAGGTTGTCGAGCAGGTCGTTGAGTTTGCGGTTCTTTTCGCGTTCTTCGAGCTGGAGGTAGAACTGTTGGAGACCGTGGAGGGTGAGTTTGGTTTCGTCGTCGACGTAGATTTCGAGGGGCTGCGCGGGAATGTTAGCGGAGCGGGGGAGGGCGGGGGAGAACAGGGGGAAGGGAAAGGGGGACTCACACTCTGCATAAACTTTTTACAAGTCGTCCTGATATCCTTGGAAAGTGTGGCCGAAAACATCATGACCTGCTTGTGGTGGGGAGTCGCCCTAAAGATCTCTTGCACGTCTCGGCGCATGTCTGGATTTTTTACGATTTTCGTCGAAACGGGGAGCAAAAGTGGCGTGTTGCGGTGGTGGGGGGTGTTGGCGTTTTTGAGGATGAGGGAGAGGGGAGACGATAAAGGCGAATGAGAGCGTAAAGGCGAAGGGGAGGGTGAAGGCGAAGGAGAAGGAAACAAGAGTAAGCGTGCGTTCCTTCATATGATTGTGGTGGGGCTGAAAGCGAATGTCCGAGCAACCCTGAACCGCCGGGCGAAGGGGCGGAGGGGATAGTGGGGTAAAGGGGATCGAAGCCTCTCCTTGCTCAAAAGGGTCGTCGGCAGCAAGACCATCCTATTCCAAATTCCCCTTCTCGCCTCGCCACCGGCCACATGTTCTTCTTTTCCACCGATCATCCCTCCTGTCGCGCGCGAGCCCAAAAGCTGATGCTGGGAGCTGAAAGCGGAGACTTGGGACTTGGCGGCGGGACAATGACGCAACCGGAATGCCCCATTGTCCTCGCCCGCCCTCGGGTTGCTCAAAAATGCCGCCATACACGATGTTTCGGAGGGGGGGACTAACCAAGTTGTTCAAGCATCTTGTCACACTCATCCAACACAAAGTGCTTCACTTTCCCCGCATTCAGCTTTTTATCCCTCACGAGCGCCATCGTCCTGCCGGGGGTGCCGACGACGATATGCGGGCACTTTTCCTTATCGGCCAAGAGCTCTTGGTCGGCCGAGATGGGGGTGCCGCCGTAGAATACGCCGGTGCGGACGTTGGTCATGAATTTGGAGAAACGGGTAAATTCGTTCTTGATTTGGTAGGCGAGTTCACGGGTGTGGCAGAGGATGACGATGGATACTTCGCCGTCTACCGGTTCGCTATACCCGAGCGTTAGATGGGGTCGACGAGGAAAAAAAAAAAAAGAGTATACTTGCATTTGCTGCAAGGCGGCGAGGACAAAGACGGCAGTCTTACCCATACCAGACTTGGCCTGACAGAGGACGTCTGTACCGAGGATGGCCTGGGGAATGCACTCCTGTTGCACTGCACGCCATCAGCGGGTGGCCTGTCGAGCACAAGGTAAACACGCACCTTCAGAGGGATGCTCGAAACCGAGGTCAGAGATGGCTCGAAGGAGCTCGGGCTTCAACAAGAAATCCCTATGTCCGCGTCAGCCGTCACCTTCCCCGATCGGACGGATGAGAGGACACACCTGAACCCGGTGGAGTGGATGCCGACATAGGAGCCCTTCTTGTCGGCGTCAGTCTTGTCGCCGTTGGTGGCGGCGGCGGTGGGGGCGGGGGCGATGACCTCCTCGGCGGCCTCGTCGTAGTCTACGAGTTCCTCTTCGTCGGGGCGGGACATGTTGGGTGATGCTGGGGGTGGTTGAGGGTGGTTGACGTGGATGTATGTCAACAGTAGCAGGGGTGGAGAAGGGAGAAGGGAGAGCGGGGTTAAGCGGGGATAGGAGTGTGGCGGCCAGGGCCGGCCTGGGCCCTGAAAGGCGTGGGCGTCGGATCGTTGTTGGATGTTATCATGGCCCTGCCTACGCTTACCCCAAGAACCGAGCACCGGCTGCCCACCCCGAAATAAAATACACCGTAAGATCGGGACCAAACACTGCGAGCATACCCCCTGCCGCCCCTCCCCGCCCCCCTCAGCCTCCACCGCCCCCGCCACCCGCCCCCTCTGCCATATCGACGCGTCGCTCAGATTGTTTATTACCGACGCGACGTGAGCATCCATCGGTTTTTGCCATGTTGGATGATAGCTGACCATGAGCTGCCTAGTCTGCCTGCCGCTCGATCCATCAGCCCACATCTACCGTGCCCGTCCCCGTCCGATCCGCGACGCGTACTCCGGCGTGAGCACCCTTCACCCTTCAATCAACCTCCCACTCACCCCCTCCCAGTACCTCTCCCGCGCTATTGCTGCCGTAGCTCGGGTCAGGTTCTAGCGGTACACGCCTCCCCCTCTTCCTCTTGAGGATAACAGCTGACGCTCGCGCAGTACGACGCTTGACCTCACCATGAACTACCCCCACAGCATGGACCCGAACAACATACAAGGCGACCCCGGGCCTTCCTCTATGGCACAACAAGCCCAAGCCCAAGCCCAGTACCGTCCTTCTTTCCCGCAACCGCCACCGGGACAGGGGGGACCAGGACAGGGGCAGATGAATATGGCCATGCTGCAGCAGATGGCCCAGGCGCAGGGTGTCGATCCCCAGACGCTGTTGATGGCTATGCGGCAGCATCAGCAACAGCAGCAGCAGCTCCATCAACAGCAACAACAACAACAACAGCAGCAGCAGCAAGCGCAAGGCGGACCGCCGGGGCAGTACCAGCCCGGCCAGCCCCATTCCAACCCCGCCCAACTCGCTTTTCAACAACAACAAATCGCCCGGATACTCCAGCTCCAAGGCCGTTCTGCCCCAGGTATCCCAGGCCAAGGCGGCGCGGCAGGGGGACCCAACTCGCCCGTCCGCCCGGCCCAACCGCCCGCCCACCAACACCAACACCAACCTCCACATGCCCCCCAACGCTCTATGCCCCCGCCTCCCATCCCGAGCACTCCCCAACACCACCCCTCCTTCCCCCCTCCGGCTGCTGAACACGGCAGCTCCCCCTCGCCGATGACGATGGGCGGGCTCACGGCGCAGCAGCAGCAACAGTTTCTAGCCCAGCGGGCGGCGTTCATGAACAACCCCCAGTTTGGCGCTATGCAGCCGCAGCAGCAGGGGATGCTTTTGCAGCAGCAGCAGGCGCATTTCATGCGTGGGATCATGATGCAGAATGCTCAAGCGCAAGCCCAGCAGGCTCAGGCTCAGGCTCAAGGGCAGTCGCCGTCCCAACCGCCTGGAGGGAACGGGATAGTCAACCAGAGTCCAGGCATCCACCGGCAACCCACCCCATCCCAACAACACCCCACCTTGTCTTCCCTCCCCCAACATATGGCGCCCCCGCGACCCGGGTCGTCGGCATCGACCCGCCCGGCGTCGCCGCACCAGCACCAGGGTTCACCCGGGATGATGCACACCCCGCCGCCTCCGGGTCCAGGTCCGGGCATGTACCACCACCAACACCACCAAAACCCGCATCACCACACGCCCCAGTCTGTGCAGGCGCCGTCCCCGACGCATTCGGTGCATTCGCACCATACGCCGCAGATGAATGCTTCGCCGATGATGAATAGTAGCGGGGTACCCTTTCCCCAACCCCCGCCTCCTCCTGCTTCTTCTTCTCAACCGCAACAGCAGCAACAGCAAGGGTACCCGAATCCGTCTTTTCCCATCCCAAGTCAGAGTCCTTCCGGCCCGGGACAGCAGGGCGTACAACCCGGGATGGGCCAAGGCGGCCAAGGACAAGGACAAGGACAGGGTGGAGGAGGGGGGCTACCGCCCCCGCCCCAGGGGTTGTCGGGTGTGGGACTGCAGTATACGACGCAGCAGCAGCAGCAGATGGCTTCTGCTCTGGGTTTCATGAGTAAAGCTGTCCAGGCGCAACAGCAGGGGTCTGGTCATGAGGGAGCGAGGCCTGGGTCTTCTTCTCGAGCTTCTCAACCCCCCCTCTCCCAACCTCCCCACTCCCAACCCCAAATCCAATCCCAATCCCAACCCCCAACGCTCCCAAACCTATCCAACATCACCCCGCCAAACCACCCCGACTTCCCCTTCGACGCCCGTCTCCTCGCGTACCTCCCGCACGCCACGAACCCAACATGGAAGGCGCAGATGCAGCAGCAGAACCCGCAGTTGGCGGCGGCGGTGCAGAGTGCGTGGGGGGTGGTGCAGAGGGGGGGACTGAGTAGGGAGATGGGGGGGAGGATGCAGGCTGCGATGGGGGCGTTGAAGGCGGCTATGATGGGGATGCAGGGCGGGCAGGGCGGGCAGGGGCAGGGGGTGGGGCAGGGGGTGCAGGCTTCGCCGAACGTGTCGCAGGGGCAGGGGCAAGGGCAGTTGAAGGAATCGCCCAACTCTGCTACACAGCCTACTGTTGCCCTGCCGTCGCCGGCGCTCAAGAAAGGAAGATTGAGCGGGGTGTCGGACAAGGCTAGCGGCGGACGGGATAGGGATAGGGATAGGACGCCGTCGATAGGTGGGAGGGGGTCTGTCCCCCCGGCGGGTGAATCGCCGGCGCAAGGGCTGCAAGGGGGTATGCCGCCGCCTTCGTTTATACCGAGTCATTCGGGGAAGGACAAGGAGAAGGAGAAGGAGAAGGAGAAGGAGACGACGCCGGGCGAGGATGCGCCGGCAGCGGCAGCACCAGCAGCAACCACGGCAGCACCAGCACCAGCACCAGCACCAGCGCCGGCAAGGAAACAGTCCGCGCCGGACTTACCGAAAGAATGGGAATCCCACATCCCGCGCGACGTGCCCATCACCCGTATCATTCCCATCCCCATCCCCCCCTCCGCCCCGCACTTCCAAACCGCCCTCCCGCCTCTGTCGCCGAAACAGATCACCCACGTCCGAGAGTGGATCGATCGCGATGTGGCATACATTGAGGGCGAGAAGAAGCGGCATCCAAAGACGTTGGCAAAGATGAAGAGGTGGGCGGAGGAGAATGACAAGGCGACGGAGTGGTGGATGTTGAGAAAGGGAGAGGCGAGGGTGATGCCGCAGAATAGACTGAGGATTCTTTGGCCGGCGGATAAGGATCGGTTGAGGAGTCAGAAGAGTCATAGGAGGAGGAAGCAGGTCAAATTGTGGGTACTCTTTGAAGTGGTCGGGGTTTAGCTGACGGGGTGTAGTTCGCAAGCAGACTTCAAGAAGATGGCAGAGGTGGAAGATCATGTGGTTCCTGTACGGTTGGATTTGGAGGAAGGGCATCACAAGTTGAAAGATACATTCATGTGGAACTGTGCCGGTGAGTTACTTTTACCCTGATTGAACCCTGCTAACAGTGTGTAGATACCGTTGTGACGCCAGAACTCTTTGCGCAAAGTCTCTGCGACGACTTTGGCGTCCCCCACCACCTCTTTGCTCAGCGCATCATCACCGCCATCAACGAGCGCGTCCATGAATACAAGGACCAGGTGCTTCCTCTGATACAACGTCATACCAAAGAAGACTGCCGAGGCAAGCTGGATCCGGAGGGCGATGCCGAGTCCAAGGCGCTGATTGAAGTGTTTCGCCGGGCGAGGAACTGGGAAGAGGAGGAGGAAGAGATCAAGACGGACCCGGGCGCGGCGATGGATGATGAGGATATCAAGATCGTCTCGGGCGACCCGAACGACCCGAACGACCCCAAAGCGCTGGACGATTCTCGTCCGTGGACGGTCGAAGAAGCCATGTCGCTCATCCCTGAAGATGCCCCGGAAGAACTGAGGATCCTGATCAAGCTCGATATTTTGATAGGCGCGCAGAGCCTGACGGATAGCTTTGAGTGGGACCTCGGGTCGACGGTGACGCCGGAAGAGTTTGCGGGGATGTATGTGACCGAGTTGGGATTGAGCTTGGAGTTTGCGTACGTTCCTTCTACTTGTTTTGTGATAAGGCTGATATAAACTTAGTACGGCGATTGCGCATGATGTCCGAGAACAGATCATCGTCCATCAGCGCTCCCTTTTCATCGTCGGGCACCTTTCCAACCAAGGTGTCGTCCTCGACGACGAGATGCGCGCTGCCTTCCTCCCGCCCATCACCAATACGCTTCGCCGAGAAGACGTCGCCATGGCATCTTACACTCCCATCTTCAACGAGCTCGAAAATGCCCAACTCGCCAACCTCGAAGCTCTGCGAGAAAAAGAAGCCAAGCGCAAGAAGAGACACGGGCGTGCGAGGAGAGGCGTGGTCATGCCCGATCGGGAGCCGAACAAGACGCACCGAACGTTGCTCAACAATATCGGGCCGAACGGCGTTGCGCTCTTGGCCAATGTGGAAAGTGCGCCGAGAGAGACGGCTACGCTGAGTCGGAGGCGTGGTGCAGCGCTGGCCGCCGAGGCGAATATCAACTTGCTGGCTCAAGACTTGCCCATCCCCGCTCCGCCTTCGCCTGCGCCGCCGCCTCCCGTTTCCAGGGGCAAACGCCATGGACGGGTGCAAAAAGTGGGACGGGAAGAGTCGGTCAATGGCGATACCCCCGTCAGTGCGCATCTTCAGCCGCCTGTGGCGAGGGGAGGGGAGTATATGGATATGGTCAATGGTGCCGTGGCGAGCCCCGCGGGGAGGCGACGGGCAAACCACACTAGGATTCCCGACTCGCCCTCTGAGCCGCCTACGCCGTTATCTGCCAAGCCCGAGAGCGCGCCTTTACCTCCGGCATATGGAAGCGTCCCTCCGTCGTCAAAGAAGCGCAAGATTCTGGTAGAGGCGGAGGACAGGCCGCTCAAGGCTGTCAAGGCCGAAGTCGAATCTGCCGTCCCTTCCCCGACCCTGTCGTCGAGACCGTCATCTCGTAAAGGCCAAGCAAAGAGCAAGAGTGCGAGCAGAAACAGACAGAGGCGGACTGCGATAATCCCTTCTTCTGGTTCCGAGCCCAGCGCGTCAGACTCGGAAGATAGCGCTAGTGATAGCGCGAGTGATTCCGATTCGAGCTCTTCGACGAGGCCGAGGAAGCAAAAGAAGAAGGCGGTGGTGGCTGTGGCGGAGAATGAGCCTACCCCTGCACCGAGGTCGAGCGCGGTCCCGTCGAGTGTACCTGTCAGATCGTCGCCTGTTGTCAGTCTTGAGAGTGATGTGAGTGGGATTTTCCATGATTGTGATGAAATGCTGACGTTTTGTAAAGCTTCCCGATTGGGCAAGCAAGGCGCTCGCGGATACCCGAGGGAGATACCAGAAAGACGACTTTGTGGTTATCAAGAAGCCGAGGCAAGATCCATCGCTGCCTATCGAATGGCGAGTCAAGTGTAACGACTGGTGCGTCCATGTCTTCCTCTCTTATTGAACGATTCTGACAAGGTATACAGCCCCGGCAAAATCTATACCCTCGGCCCAGGCGAGACCCTCAACAATTTCGAAGTGCATCTCAAGAACAAGGCGCATATGAACAACCGGACGGCCAGGGAAGAGAAGCGGAATGCGTAGAGGTGCTGTGTGTATACGTGGAAAGGGGACAGAGAATGAACGTTCAGAAGTAGAAATATATTGTCAAAGACTACAATAGCATGCCCCTGTAATCATATAGGACTACCCTCTTCACGCCATGAGGAACATACAATGTCTATATACCTTTTTCATCTTTTCTTATTGCTTTTTTGGGACTATTTCATGCATATCTTTTCATGCTGATTCAGATATGCTTCTACTCTATGACCAGCGGGAGTTTGGGTGCAGGTGCTGGTTATGCGCTTTTGTTATCGGTGTATCGCGGGTTGGGCACGACTTTGTCGCCTTTGATGAGTACGCGGGGCTCTTTCTTTGTGGCTACCCAGAATGCCGTCTGCATAGCCTATCAGCTTCCTGACAACAACAAGAAGGAAGCTAAGCGAGGAGGGGGGAGAAGGGACGTACAGTGTATTCATGCCTCAACATGCTCTCCGGCGGGCTGGTGTATGTCGACTTGATCATCTTTTCTTCCTACACCCCTATATCAGTACTCTCTCCACCACAAGACAGCCCGAGAGAGCGATGGAGGAAGAAAGAAGAGGAAAGACCCACTTGGAATTCAAACCCCACCAAATCGCCCAACTGCTTTACTTCATCCAAACTCAATTCCACACTCCTCTCTCCTTTCGCCGAAGTCGTTGGCGAGTTTTCGAAATGCCACAACAGCGGGCCGATATTGATCCACACCCCGCCGCCTCCTCCTCCTCCCGGGGAAGAGGGCGAAGAAGGGGTAAGGGGAGGGAGGAGGTTGTGGATGGTACGGAGGTAGTTGAGGATGTTGCGAGAACAGTCGATGAAGAAGCATGTCACGATGGCATCCCATTGGCCTGTTTGGTCTTCCTTCTCGTCTTCTTTGTCTCCGCCGTCTTCTCTGTTGAAGGAGGAAGACGGTTGGCCGTAGATTTCTTCAAAATCACCAGCGACCATCGAAAACGCCCCCGGTTTATACTTTTCTCCACCTCCGGCGTGGGGAGTGCCCGCAAAGACGTCAGAAGGACATACATCTGGGATGGTGGTGGAGAGGAGCAAGTGATGTTCGGTGGTGAGGTGGTTGGAGAAGGAGTGGAGGAAGGGGTAGATGGTGTGTGAGTTTGGGCGGGTCGTCCTGTCAAGGTTTACGTGCTGTCAGCTGTAGAACAAGCGTGAGGGCAGGAGAGTTGAGAGGGGCGTACTGGTTGAGGACCCAATCGGATGCTATCAGCATGTATGTGCTGAATTCGTTGCCTTGGGCGGTGAATCCTATACGCATGATAGAGTCAGCTTTGGATATGTGATGGACAAAGAGTGGACCTTGCGAAGCGATCTCCATAGCCAGCCTCCCCAGCCCACACCCAGGTACAAGCACCTTCACTTCCTCCCTCTTCCTTACCCTCCGCTTCTCCTTTCTTACCTGCCCCTGCACATCTACATCAATCTCTACCTCCCCTCCCTCGGGATAGTCGTGGAAAGAAGGAAAGTGCTTTTCGAGCGATTCGAGGCAGGGGCGGTAGCAGGCGTCGCGTTCGGGTTGGCCTAGAGGGGACCAGTCGCGTACGAAAGAGCGAAGCGTGGAGCGGACTTTGTCTTGGGCGGCGTCGAGCTGTGAACGAGATGGTTTGGAGGGGGACCCCGGGCGGGACGCGGTTTGAGATTGGGGCTGAGAGTGAGAGTGGGAGTGACCTTGGCTGTGGTCGTGCGAATACTCTTCAGCGTGTGAATGACCAACGTCTTCGGGTTCGGGATCTTTGAGCATCTCTGAGAAGACTGGGTTGGCAATCATCTCGTCCAGGAACTCTTGGTTTCTACTCTCATCAGCTCCTTCCTCGTCATATAAGCCAGAACATACTGCCGTATACCCTCGTCTACGGCTTCGACCTTGTCCATGTACCCGAGCATTCTGTATAACTCCTTCTCCGCCTTGGGCAGCGTAAGAACGCTCATCTTGCGGGCATGTTGCGCCGACATCTGCTCCCCTTCAGTACCCCGTACCAAAGAGCAAGAGAGACCTACATGATAGTGCTGATACCCATCGAACGCCTTGATAACTGCCTGCCAGTGCCTCCGTTCGTCTGCCATTCTGCTGTGCTTTGCAGATGATAGAGGACATGCGCGCATCACTGCACCAGCCATTTCCGCCGGAAGGCCGCCTTACGTCAGCAACCTCAGTAAGCGTTCCCATCGCTTTACGTACTCGTACTGTGCCGGCGGCAGGCACCGGCGACCCGAGATCAGGATTAGGCGCCCAGATTGATGGCCGAGGCGGGTCCCGTTATCATCGCATTGTTTGGCCCCGAGACGTATATAATGCCGCTTCCAAATGGATCGAATCCGCATCCCCCGCCACTCTCACAATGTCCCACAGCGTTTTCCTTGGAGCGTCTACTGGTATCGGATACTATGCCCTGCTGCAGTATCTTACAGACTCGCCCACAACCACCGCCACTGTCCTCCTCCGCAAGCCAGACCCCTTCAAGGCGGACCCGAATTTCAAAGAGTATCTCGACGCAGGCAGGGTACAGATCGTGAAAGGTGATGCTACCAATGAAGATGATGTCAAGAAGCTCTTTGAGCAAGATGCTGCCTATGTCATTTCGACTATCGGTAAGCGTTTTTTGCTTTTTCATGGGAAAGTGCTCATGAGAAACAGGCGGCAAACCGCATATGACGCTTCATGGCGCAGTCAATGACCAGCCTACCCTGTGTACCGACGCCGCCCTCGTCCTCTTACACGTTCTCGCATCCCTCCACGCCCAAGGCAGGAAACTTCCCAGGGTCATTGCCGTCAGTACGATGGGTTTGGGCGAGAACCACAAAGTCATGCCTCTCGCTTTACGGGTAAGCCCCTATGATACTACCAGAGGATGAGAAGACTGATAAACGACAGATAATCTACCCCTGGCTCCTCCACTCCCCGCACCAAGACAAACTGGGCCTCGAACTACTCCTCCAACGCGCCTCATCCGTCCTCCCCACCCCTCCCCAGTCCACTTTCGCCAAACTCCCCTTCCTCTCTTCTTCCTCCGTCTCCAGCGTGAAAGAAGGCTTTCTGCCTGAAGTCATCATCATCCGCCCAGCAATGTTTGCGGGTGAAGAACCGGCAAAGGGAAGGGAAGCGACGAAAGTAGGGGAGAAGGTGACGACGTATACGATCAGGAGGAGGGAAGTCTCGAGAGTTATTGTGGAGGACTTTTTGGGGGAGAGTGAGTGGGTGAATAGGTTGCCTATGATCGGGTACTAGGCGATTGCCTGCTTTCTTGGTTGGTCGACTTGTGTTATACTTTTATGTACTTGTACATTCCCCTATCCCTTCAATTGTCTTTCGTAAGAACCTAAAGCACGCAACATCCATACAAACACAAACTACGAAGCATAATCAAAGATCACAAGCAGCGCTATAGCCCCGACAAGCAATGGGTAGAACGCATTCTCCAAATTAGCCAGTCCTCCATAAGGGTTCGTCGGCCCGACTGTTTCCCACTGCGTCAGCTCTTCTTGTCGCCACGTTTGGAGAGTGGTGGGAAGACATACCCGGTGGTGGTCCGATGGGCTGTACGGGCTGCATCGCCGGCGCCGGTCCAGGAGGTGGAGGAGGGGCGCCTTGTGATTGATATTGCACGTTAGAGCCTGATTGTTGATACATCCCATAACCATACCCAGCCGGAGGTGGCGGTGCGTTGGCAGCATTGTTGGGATTGGCATAATACCCATTTGCGTTTGCGTAAGCGCCAGGTTGAGCGTATGGTTGTTGATATCAATAAACAGCCCGTTGTTGTTGTTGTTGTTGGAGGTAGTATTGATAATGCGGATGTTGAGGATGAGTAGGGGGTAAGAGATGAGGGGGGTATTCGTAAGCGTAAGCGTATATGGGAGCGCAGTACCATGGTTGGTAGATTGTACATGCGTATTGATTTTGGGTTTGGACCGGTTGTGGAAGGGAGTAGTAGGATGGATAGGCTTTTTCGTCAGTTGGTACAAACACCACAAGTGATTCAGGATATGTGGAGAAGGGAACAGATGGCGACGAGCATGAAGCAAGGAAGTAGAGAGACGGAATAGAGGCTTACCTGGCTGCTGCTGAGGTCCAGTAGATACTTGCAGCTGAAGTCCTGGACGTTGGTATTGTACCGAACGTTGTTGTGGCTGAGGTTGGTAGTATTCTACCCCTCCTCATTAGCCTTTACATACTCACTATCCTATTCAAAGAAGAGAAATACACTCACGACCCTGCGGCTGCGATGCATACTGCCTGACCGTGTTCTCACTCGACGGCCCATTCGCAAACCAACTCCACCCCGCCCCACCTTCCGGCGTCGCAAACCCTCCCTGTCCGCCCATCTGAGACCCCTGCGTCTGTTGATAGCTTACCACTCTCGGCTGTTGGGGCTGAGGTTGGGGCAAGTATCGAGCGATAGGGGGAGAGTATTGATGGATGACTTGAGGTTGAGTGATCCGGAGGATGGGCTGGGGTTGAGGTTGGATGGGAGGTTGGGGATGGCACCATGGTACCACTCCGGCTACGAACCCTACACACCCCGGTGCACCCCCCATCACACCCCAACCCCCGGTCCCAGTCCACCACCCCCCGCCCCAATTCGGCCACTGGCCCCACTGCGCCACACCGGGCAAACTGCCGCCGCCCGTCAGACCTAAAGGCCCTTGGAGGATGATGAGCACAAGACAGCAAAAGAGGAAGAATGACATCCAAGCGTTGGCGGAGATCGTTGGCATCGATTGTGGGCTGGCGGGTTTGGGGGTTGAGGAAGAAGAGGAAGAGGAACCAGATGATGAGGAGGAGGATGAGGGCTTAGCAGCGGAAGAAGAAGAGGAAGATGGTTTAGCGGCAGAGGAAGAAGAGGATGACGATGGCTTGGCGCCAGAGGAGGAGGAGGGTTTGGCGGAAGAGGAAGAGGAGGACATGGTGAATGGGGCGAGGTCGTAGACCGAGATGGAACCGTAGACTGCGCAGGTGAGGAGGAGGAGGGAGATGGGGAGGATATAGGGTGAGAAAGCGGCTTGTGATGGTGTAGGGATAGGGATGGGGAGGGGAAGCTGGGGTGGAGTGGTGTTCAGGGTTGACAGTGGGTTGAGATAGTTGAAAGACAGGTGCGGCTACTAGTCTGGAAGGGGAATGATTGTGACGGTGTTAGAGTATACAAATTCCTAGGACGTAGGAGTACGTGAGCTGTGGTGGCGAGGTGGATATTATGGTGATGATTGAGACAGAGTTGAGTATGTGGAAAGAGTGTATCAGTAAGTGACCCCAGGCGGACACAGGTCGAGAGTCTCTTAGCTTTGGAAAGGAGTAAAGGTCAGGTGCTCGAGTTTGAAAGCGTTCCAATGATGATGGAGGGGGTGGTAAGTGTGATCCTTTATGGGTTTTGATGGCAGAAAGGATGCAGCAGACGAAGATGTGGGGCCAGATGAGACGGCGGCCACAGCCTATGACTGAGCCGCTCGCTCCCGGCCACCTTGTTATCCACCACTTCCACCCAGCATCACACTTACTTCCATATTGGGTTGCATGCACCACGAGAAGCTACTACTAAGTTGAGCAGCTGATCATTACGTCTGCCACAATAATGCAATCATCATTGTTGCTATTGGATATTCTTATCCCAACACAGCTTTCCAACAACACCTCGCGTCTGTAATTCACTAAATTTGTATCAAAAGGTAGAAAAGGTGGAGCTGACAGATGATGGCGAGCCCCCAGGGATGCCTGTTTTGCAGACAGCGAGATGGACGGGGGTTCGATGCTGAAAGGATGAATGGGAAATACAAGCACGTTGATTGATCTCCGGTGTGATATAGAGAGAGTCTAAAGTCATGGCTTCTCCACGAGCCCACCACATTCAGTGTTTTTCAGTGTTCAAAAGGTCACAATGCTGATGAATGATGCATGAGCGGCTGTTCCTACGAGAGCTGAACCCCACCAGGCCGGTTGCCAGGCGTCAGCGCATCATCCTCATCGTCTATCCTAAACACCGGCAGTCCCGCTCCTCCATACCCCGTCCCTGTACCCCCTTCACCCCCTCTGTTCCCATCATCACTGGCCCGACTGCCGGTCTCCGACTCTTCATCCCAAATCACCCCCTGACTCCCCCTTCCCCCTCCTACCCCCGCGGCAGAGGAAGTCTCCTGTACGGGCGAAGCGGCACCTTCGAACCGGTGTTCCCGCCCTTGGGCATCGCGGTACCGCCCCACGCCGCCAGCGGAGAGGGGTTGGTAGAGGGAGAGAATTTCTTGTTTTTTGAGATGACGCAAGTGGGCGAGGTGGGCGAGGTAGAGGAAGAGGGAGGAGCCGAGGAGGTTGGAGAGGATGTCGAGGGGTTGGAATGTTTTCCACTATTCCGAAAGGTCAATCACTCACTTGAGGCTTTTGTATTGGGAAACTTTACTGGGAGAGTGGCTTGTACGAATTCGCTGACTATGCCGCCGATGAAGAATGCCAGCACGCCGACCACGATGAGGGGTGCCCGACGGATGTACCATACTCTTCTGCCTGGCCCTCTGTTCTCCTTTGTCAGTGTGCATGTAGCAAGAACACGATCCGAGACCCACTCTGGCACGTCAATGACAAAGTACAGCAAGAATGTCGCAAAGCCCAGCTGTCACAGTGCACTGTCAGCCGGGTCCATGACCGAGCTTACGCATCTACTCACGCCAAAGAAATGCAGTGCTTTATCGTTAACGGGCAGCTCGGGCAGGGGCGCCATTCCGAGGATACCCAGCAGTATGATCCATGCTGCTGTAGCAAACACCATAGCCTTTTTCGAAATTTCAGTCGCGAAACATTAGAAAGACATGACGTCTCGCTCACCGGGCGAAGGTTCAGGGGGTAGTCCCGTATGGGATAGGAGCGCATAACCCAGGTGGTAAACTTGTCCCATAGCTCCTGTATGACCTTGGTGGGGACAGGGTAGGTAGCAGGCATGGCGGGCAGGGGTGCAGCAGAAAGTGGAAATGGAGATGCAAGTGGAGATGGTCGGAGTGACCCGTCATCACTTTCGGCGGCGGCGACATCGCCAACAACGCATGCATCGCCATCCACAACTATATCCACAACGTATACCCCC